GGATGGGGAGAAAAGGGAACCCTTATGTACTGCTGGTAGGAAGGTAAACTGGTACAGCCACTATGGAAAACAGTATGGAAGTTCCTCAAAAAATGAAAATAGAGCTACCATATGGTTCAGCAATCCCACTTCTGGGCATATATCCAAAGGAATGAAATTAGGATCTCCAAGAGCTATATGCACTACCATATTAATTGCAAGATTATTCACAATAGCTAAACCATGGAAACACTTGAAATGTCCATCCATGGATGAGTAGATAAAGAAAATGTGGTGTCTATATACAGCCACACACAGTGGAATATTATTCAGCCAGGAGGAAGAAGGAAATCTTTGCCAGTACAGCAACATGGATGGACCTCTAGGACATTATGCTAAGTGAAATAAGAGAGAAAGATGCATACTGTATGATATCATTTATGTGTGTGGAATCTTAAAAAATCCAAACTCATAAATACAGGATAGAAACGTGGTTGCCAGGGGGACGGAGGAAATGAGGAGATGTTGGTCAAAGGGTGCAGACATTCAGTTGTATGGGACGCCTTGGTGGCTCAGCAGTTGAGCGCCTGCCTTTGACTCAGGGCATGATCCTAGGGCCAGGGATCGAGTCTCACATCAGGCTCCTTGCGGGGAGCCTACTCCCTCTGCCTATGTCTCTGCCTCTCTCTCTCTTTCTCTCTCTCTCTCTCTTTCTTTCTCTCTCTTTCTGTCTCTCATGAATAAATAAAATCTTAAAAAAACACTTTTCAGTGGTATGTTCTGGGCATCTTATATACAGCATGGTGATTATAGTTAACAATACTATATTATATACTTGAAAATTGCTTTCAAGTATACTTGGAAGTTAAATGATCTCACCACAAAAAGTAAATGGTAATTATGTGAGGTGATGAAGGTGTTAATCCTACCATAGTAATCATTTCACAATATTTTAAGTGATCAGATCAATATATTATACACTTTATATAATATTATATGTCAATTATATCTCATAAAGTTGGGAGATAAAAAGCATCCAGATTGCAAAGGAAGAAGTAAAACTATCTCAATTCACAGATGACATGATATTATTCATGGGAAATCCTAGTAATAGAATTTTGAAAAAACTACTAAAGCTCATAAATTTAGCAAAGTTGCAGGATACAAGATCACCACCTAAATATCAGTTGCATTTCTATACTGTTAGCAATGAGCAATCTGAAAATGTAATTAGGACAGCAATTCTATTTACAATAGCATCAAAAAGAATAGGATAGTTATGAATAAATTTAACCAAGGAGGTGCAAGACTTATACACTGAAAACTACAAAACATTGTTGAAATAGTTGAAGACTTAAATGAAGGGAAAGATCTTCTGTGTTCATGGATTAGAAGACTTAACATTGTTAAGATGGCAATATTCCCCAATATGTTCTTTTTTTTAAAAAAAGATTTTATTTATTTATTCATGAGAGAGAGAGAGAGGCAGAGACACAGGCAGAGGGAGAAGCAGGCTCCACGCAGGGAGCCCCACGTGGGACTCCATCCCAGGACTCCAGGATCACGCCGAAGATGACACTAAACCACTGAGCCACCTGGGCTGCCCTCCCCAACGTGTTCTGCAGATACATTACAATACCTATTAAAATTGGAATTTCCTTTTTTTGCAAAAATGAATAAGCTGATACTAAAATTCACATTTGGAGTTACAGAGGATCCCAAATAGCCAAACAATCTAAAAAAGATCAAGGGTAGAGGATTCACACTTCCTGATTTCAAAATTTCTGGCAAAGCTGCAGTAATCAAGAGTGTGTTACTGAAATAGGGGTCGATATATCCATCAGTGGGGCAGAATTGGGAGTCCAGATATAAACCCATATGTCAGTTGACTTTCAATAAAGATACCAAGACTATTCTTGGGGAAAGAATAGTCTCTTCACAAAAGGTGCTGGGATCACAACTGGATATCCACATGCTAAATAAAGAATGAAGTTGGACCCCAACCTCACACTAAATACGATAAATATTAAGTCAGATTGAATCAGATACCCAAATGTAAAGGCTAAAAACTGTTAAACTCATAGAAGGAAACACTTGGAGAATTTAGCTGTATAATTACTGCCCTCTTATAGCACTTTTGTGACATGTATGGTGGACTTTAGTGACTGGCTGCCCCCTTGGGTCAAGATTATCTTTTTTTTTTTTTAAGATTTTATTCATTTATTTATGAGAAACAGAAAGAGAGAGAGAGAGGCAGAGACACAGGTAGGGGGAGAAGCAGGCTCCATGCAGGGAGCCCGACGTGGGACCCGATCCCAGGTCTCCAGGATCACGCCCTGGATTGAAGGCAGCACTAAACTTCTGAGCCACCCGGGCTGCCCAAGATTATCTTTCATCAGTCTGTCCCTCATACTTTGCACAGAGTTGGTGCTCAGTAAAGTCAGCTGACCAAGTGACTGGAAGAGACAGTGACAGTGTTAGCCATACTGAGGTTTACCAAAAAGATTTTAAATTGTCAGAAACTACTTTGGGTGTCCTTGTTGTGTGCTCGAGTGCTACAAGTTTTCCTCTCTGGGCTTTTTCTTTCACCAAAATAGAGTTTAGGGGGCACGTGAAGAGTCTCCTCAGCAATAGGTGACTGTCATTTGTACATCTGATAATTTGGGAAAGTAGCCAGTGTCTTTAAATCTGACTCTGCTGCTGCTGACAATATGGATACATAGCCTATTTTTAAAAATTATATTAAGCTAATTCTTAATTATGGAATATCTGGACCTTAAAGTATAGGTCCAGCCTCAGTTTGAACACCTGTAATGATATGGAACTCAGTATCTCCCAACGCAGCTCTCAGTGAACTGCTGTATTGAAAACCACAAAGTTCTTTCTTAGGTTGATCCGAAAATCTTTTTCTCTAAGTGTCTACTGTTTCTGCAATGGAATGAAGCCACACAAGTCATATATTTGAAATAATAATGCTTTCTCTTTCGGTCCTATGTTCATTCCTCCTAAGTCTGTGTTGTTCACTTTAACATTTTAATCTGTCATCCAATTTATTTCTGGGTGGCTTACATCACGGACTGTGTGGGTTCTGAGAATGCAAATGGATTTCAGTAGTATTCTAGGTAAAGTACAAAACAAGCAGGTTTGTAAGCAGCTGACATTATAGGGCGATGTCGAAGTTTCCTGCCTGTTCCAAAATACGTTTCCCACTAGGTAGTACAGCTCTCACATTATTTGCTTGTTCAGTGTTGAATTTTCTTGGTAAAGTTCAGGCATGTGATGCAGGTAGGCCACCACTTTCTCCTATTAATATTTTTTAAAAGATTTATTTATTTATGAGAGAGAGAGAGAGAGAGAGAGAGAGAGAGAGAGAGGCAGAGACACAGGCAGAGGGAGAAGCAGGCTCCACGCGGGGAGCCTGACGTGGGACTTGATCCGGGGTCTCCAGGATCAGGCCCTGGACTGAAGGCAGCACTAAACCACTGAGCCACCAGGGCTGCCCTCTCCTATTAATATTATAGCATAGATTAGTTCAGCAGACCAGAGCCATATAGCAAGGTGATGTGGCCTTGAGACATAGTAGTAGAGAGTATTGAATGGGAGGAATAGCACAGAAATGCTGGAATAGAAGCCAGTGTGAGTAGGTAGACAGATCTTTAGATGGAGGGAGAGGAGAGGCACCCTGGGATGCATCTTATTTCCTCCTTTGTAAGTTTTCTGAGCTAATCCTGACACTGGCATAGTGAAACTTTAGAAAAGTAAATCTTTTGCTACAAAAGAGTAGGTATGATGTTGTATTTGATTCTAAAGCTAAATAGAGTAATTCATGTAAATAATTTCGGCTTGGGATCATCTGCATCCACCTTGACTTTTTTGGCAAATTCTTATTTGTCCTTCAAAATACTTGTGCCCCAGGGAGGTTTTTCCAACCCTGCTCTGCCTCCATCCCAGGTAATTAATAACTCCCTCGTTTATGCCATGCTATCTCCTAGGCATACTTTTTTTTGTAGTTGTACCATTTCACTCTATTATATTGAATAATTTGTCTGCCCCACTGGACTCTGATTCCTTGAACACCCTAAACTATGCCTCATTTTTCTCAGTATTCCCAGTGCTTAGATGGTGCTACTCAGTGACTAGCATGCAGTAAGTGTATGATAAATGCTTGTTGAATAGAGTTGTAGCACAGGTAAAATAACAGCTGTACACATGTGTAAAAGCATTATTCTTGCTAGATGTGTGTTAGGCACAAATTGGATAGTAGGAAGCAAAAGTGAGTAATAATATAATCACAAACTCAAAAAAATTCCTACTTACAGTTCCCCTTTGTCACTGGGGTAGGTAACAGCCATCTGCATATAATTCTTACACAGTAAGATTAGTGTTATAATACAGGTACTGTGGGTATTGGATTGGGTTATAAAGTTATAATGTTGCATGCATAAGACAAAAAAAGCCATGTGTTCTTGAAATCTCTGAAGTCACCAGGATTTAGGCCTTTGGAATCTCAAATGTAATGAATTAAGGAAGAGACTGCATTTAATTTTGACTCCCTACATAAAAATTTAGTGCACTGCTATGTATTTTTTAAGTACTTAAATTTTGTTTCATGACTGACTTAGATTGCTTGAGGAGACTTTTGGGCCTATTAAAAGGAAAAGAATTGTTGTTTGTAAAGGTGATTCTAATACTGTATCCACCCTCTTAAAGCAGGTGAATTCTCCCTATCTCTAAGCATGAGCGAAACAGCCATTGGTCTTTTATCTTTTAAGCAGATCTAGTTTGGAAACAAAGGCTTACATCAAATGTCTTCTCTGGAGGGCTCTTTCTCTTTTGACAGGATTTGTTCTTAGAATGTGTTTTGTTAATAAATTAATTCATTTCCTATTGTAACTGCCCAAGGGAATTGTCTTCCTTGGCAGGTGGCTTGGAAAGCACTTCCTTAGTGAGCACATGGGCTAGTTTTGACTAATTGTCTTGTGTTGATTGTATTTATTACTATATGTTTTGTATTTATTTAGGAACCTAAATTCCAAGTTGGAAAGGAGTCAGAGCTGCAATGACACTGCTCAAGACAGAGCGAAGAGCAGACTCAGAGCACCCCCAACCAGCAAAACCAAGGTACACGCTTCTGGAGCTCTCTACTTCCTTCCTGTAGCTTCTTGCACATGGCCATGAAAGAAATTATTCCAGATGAGCAGAGGTAGAATGGGTCCTACGCATAGGAATTATGTTGGAGAATTTTGCAAATAAATGTGAAGGAAGAGAGTTTGAATTAGTAGCCAGAAGAGTGGAATGAGGGCCAGGAGAAGAAGTTTTTTGAAAGTTCTAGATGAGTTTTTTTCCTCCTATAGGTTTTCTTTTCTTTGGTTTAGTTATTTATTTTTAATTTAAATTCAATTAATTAACATAGAGTGTATTAGTAGTTTCAGAGGTTGAGCTCAGTGATTCATCAGTCTTATTCCCTCTAGGTTTTCAATTTTATTAGTTGTTCCAAATGTGTAGGAATTTCTGCAAATGGTGTGCATTCTAGGTCAGGGATTTTCCCCATTTCTTAGGCTCACATCACCCTTTATCCCTTTTTTTAGTCTTCCCCTGCTATCCTTCTACCATCATGAAGGAATTATAAAGAAAAAAATATGTATATAGGTATGTATATGTAATCTTTCTAACCTCTTTCAGGTCACAGCTATGACCCCAGCCTCCAACCCCATCATTGGTGTCCTCTTGTCCACGCAGAACAACCGCTGCCTCTCAGCCCCTGACTTAACCGTGGAAAAGCGTCTACCCTTCAGCTCCCTCTCATCCTTGGCTTCCCTGCATAAGCCAGAACGCTCCATCAGTCCTGAGAGCAATGACAGCATCTCTGAAGAACTAAACCATTTCAAGCCCATTGTCTGCTCACCATGTACTCCTCCCAAGAGACTCCCTGATGGCCGAGTGCTAAGTCCCCTCATCATCAAATCAACACCCCGCAACCTAAACAGAAGCCTGCAGAAGCAGACTTCTTATGAGGCTAGTCCAAGGATCCTCAAAAAGTGGGAACAGATCTTTCAGGAGCGGCAGATCAAAAAGACCCTTTCGAAAGCCACCCTCACCTCTCTGGCTCCAGAAGCAGGGGAAGATTTAGTAGTCTCTGAGGTTATCCATTCTAGCAAGGAGAAACCACCTCTGGCCCTACATGCAAGACTGGCCAGTGGTCAAGCACTCTCTGAGTGTGCGGGACCCACCCCTGTTGACCTTGATCATTTCCCCTCTGTTAGCCAAACAAAAGCGGAGCAGGGCAGTGATAGTAAAAGGAGCCCTGAGGTACCATTGGAAACCTGCTGTTCTTCAGGACTCACAGTGGGAGCCAGCGGGACTTCTTTGGAGAGAGAGCAATGCCAAGGGCCGGGGCCAACCCCAGATGCCAAGTCAGACAAAACCTGTCCGAGCATGACCACGAACATCTCGGCAGTTAATTCAGTGCTGCCCAAAAATAGTGTTCTGGGTGGGGTCCTCAAAACAAAGAGGCAGCTGAAGGCCACCAATCATTTTGATCCGCCCAACGGCGTACTGGCAGACGGCCTGGGTGAGGAGCCACTTCCTTCCCTGCGCCGGGGCCGGAAAAGACACTGTAAGACCAAGCACTTGGAACAGAATGGCTCCCTTAAGAAACTGCGACAGAGCAGTGGTGAGGTGGGTCTGGCCCCACCTGACCCGGTGCTGCAGGAGACGGAGCAGAAGCGGCAGCAGGAGGAAGAGGACCGGCAGCTGGCTCTGCAGCTGCAGCGCATGTTTGACAACGAGAGGCGGACTGTGAGTCGGCGGAAAGGAAGCGTGGATCAGTATCTCTTACGGTCCAGCAATGTGGCCGGGGCCAAGTAGCACCTACTGAACAGTATTACCTATTTTTAAGAGATCTGTGGGCCTGATCGTTTATCCCTGAAGAGCTGAGTGTTCTCACTTTGGGTTTCTTCTAATGGCAAAACACTGTCTGCTACGGTTCTGAGAGGTTCCGGGGCCTTTGTAGGCTATATCCAAGGGAACTGTGTCTGCCTCCCTGTGACCGAGGCTGGAAGCACTCCTCACCCCTGAGTGACCCACCCCTGAGGGCTTCTGGGCCAAATCTGGCGGCACCCACTTGGAATGAGATTCAGGAGCACGATGGCTGGACTTAGAAATGGTAGAGGAGAGAGGGGATGCCTTCTTAAACTGACAGACCTCCTGACTTCTTTCAACAGGGTGTTATTTTAAATCAGCCTTGCAGATAAAAAGTAGTTCCATCTTCCTCATAGAAGTGGAACGGGGCAGTTCTTTGGCAGATCCAAAAAAGATTATGTTCCCTTTCTCCTTACCCGTGCCACAAGTAAATATACCTGATGAAAACAATGGAGTTTCTCTTCTACAAAAGTTAACTTACTTTCCCTCTTTCAAAAGTAACGTTGGATTAACGCTGTCTGGTTGACCACTTTCACCGTTGTGGTTCAGTTTGGTCTTCCCAGGAGCGCTAACGTGTAAGCCCCTTTGTAGATGATGGAACTGCAGGGCGAACGTTCAGGTTCTGTCACTGAGTGGCATCGCCCAGACTGACTGTTGGGTCTCCTGACAACAAATCCCATAAATTATCCACACTAACCGGTTGCTGTAATGGACTGCAACCCATGGGCATGCCTAGGGGAGCCTCGGGAAAGCTGGCTGAGCATTAGAATACTGATTGTGCAAAATCCATAGGCAGATATTTGAGATCAGTGGGAACTATCAACAAATACTGTGCAGTATCTGCTCTGCTCCTCACCCCCCCAGTTTATAGCCTTCTGTCTTCTGGGGCTGGGGAGGGCAGACCGTCCACTCTATGAGACAGACTACAGTTGAACATTACTGCTCTCTACATGTCCAAGGGTTATCTGCAATGTTGATCTAAAATCCCAAAAATTTGCCCAGAAGTCAGGAAAGAGCAATGCTGAAACTCCATACTATGGAAACAAGGTATCTAGCTGGATGCAGCTGGTAAATTCAGTCCCATGGACCTTTGGGGTTTATTTTCCTTAGCAGCTGACACCATGTGTCTTTTGCATCCCTGGTGGTGCTTGGTGCTTCTGCCCATCTGGGCTCATTGAGAATAGGGGTTAAGAGATGATTTTAGGGAGTCTCACATGGGCTGGCATTCCCTGTGCATGTACGAGCTGTTACTATAAAGTCATGTGACGGGCATTTTAACAAAGGTTTTAGAGCTTATGTATCCCAGTGTAAGATGTCCCTCTTGAGTGGCCCCAGCAGGATACTGTATAGATTTTCCAATGATGTTGCCATTGGCAAGAACATTTCTGGAACTTTCCTCAATGTCTAGAGATGCTAGAAATATAGACTCCTAAAATGTTAGAATTGGAAGGGACCTTAAGGACCATCTTTTCCAACCTCCTCTTCTTACTAAGGCAGAAGCCAAGATCCAGAATGGTGACTCACTGATCACTAGGGATCTACTGTATCACCTTCTTTTGGTTCCTCTCAGATATCCCCCCTCTTCTCTGGGCAAATCTTTAATCTTTTGTGGTTACAGGAGGGAGAATTTTAAGTCTAAAACTAGTCAGAAGCTATTTGAAGCCTCTAGGAGTAAAAGTGGGCCAGGAGGGTTCAGAATTACAAATGAGGTGTAGCTGTAAAGCAGTTGGAGCCATTTCCTCCTGCTGCTTATGAACAGTTCCCAGAGAAAATTCCAGAGATGTCATAAGCATCTTGGTCATCATTGAGATATGTGAACCTCCTCAGTGACTACTTTGGTGGGAGTGTCACTCACTTGAATGTATGTGTTCTGCGTGTCTGCGTGTCTGTGTGCGTGCACACACGCAGATGTATGTTTTAAAAACACGCATCAATCTCATTCCTCAATATTTACACCACTTCAGTTCCAGGCCCTGCCAGCAACACAGGCCTCCACAGACTGCTGGAAGGTTGGTACCCAAGATGGCAGAGCCGGCAGTGGTCTGCGCGGAAGGGGAGGGTGACTTACTCAATGCCCTTAGAGAAAGCCTCAGTTACTGCCCTTTGCTAGAGCTCCTCATTGGTCTTAGTGAACAAGCCCCGGGAGGCTAGTCTGCTCGGGAGTAGCAAAGACACTTCTTTTTCCACTTGCCACCTTTTTTCTATGTCTCCAATCATTTGAAAAGCATGGTTTCAGTTGGAACTGATTTTTGGTTTTGGAAAAAAGATATTTTTAATAGAAAAAAATATATTTTAAATATTTCCCCAAAGTCATACTTTCATTTTAAGAAATTGTGTTGCAGTAGCAACAAATTTTAGTTTCAGGTGCAGAGTGAAAAGCTCCCTCCTGTTAAGAGGATATTCCAAACGCTGGATCCAGCTTCCTGACTTGCCCCCTTGCACCTACTGTTGTGTCTAAAGTGGCACTGACTCAGCTGAGCAAGAGTAGTCCTTGCTGTGAAGACAAAGCAGTTTAGGTCAAGGAGTGACAGGGCTTAACCTCTAATCTGCTCGGCTTTGGAGGAGGGAAAAAAACCACTAAGGTATTATCTGTACTTTAAGATGCTTCCCTTACTTAACTAAAACCTGAACACTTTCTCCTCCTGAAAAATGTCTGTGTCCTGTTGCTTGCTTGCTTGTGAAGTTTCTCACAAATGGAGTGGTTGACATGAATTATTTGAAGAAAGAGAAAGAGGAAAACAGAGTGATGGGGAGAGTTTGTGAGTGAGAACGAGAGAGACATTATTTCACAAACATTTCTCACGAATCATTGGAATCTGATTCACCACACAAATTCCCCATGTCCTATCAGCTCTGCTCCCTGTGTATATGCATTCTGTGCTTTCTCATTAAAGGGGGAGTTAGGAGAGGTTGGAGGAGGAAGGTCATTCTGATGAGAAATCCAAGAAATGTGGTGCCCTGAGAGTGGGGAAGACCTTTGGGAACATATTTGTGACCTGTTGATTGTATCTGCTGGAAGAAGTCATCTGGGCTTGTTGGGTTGGTGTCCAATCAGGGGATTAAGCACCCAGCCCTTGGACCCTTTCATATAATTGCCTCTTTTTAAAAGATTAGTTTATTTTGGCTGAAGCTTCCCAAGAAAACTTTGTAAGTGGCTTCTATTATTTTTTAAATTTTTCAAATTTATTTAGATTTTGTCTGGAGGAAGAATTGATGATGAATGCGTTCTGGTTTTCTTGGGGTTTTTTCTTTTTTGTTTTTGCTCATTTTCCCTAAAAGAACAATGTCCTTAAGAGATTAAAGCTGCCTAATTAATTGTTGTCTGGTTACAAAGTGACAAGCTAAGATGAGAAGCTGCCACTGTGCTTGACTGGTGAAGCTGATAACTGAAGGCTGTGCTGTTCGCCCTTTCTGTTCCATTTGACACACGTTCCTGAGCTTTGAACTTGTGCCAACCCTGTACTGGGTCATGGAGATACAGGATGGAAAGGACAGTCCCTGCTCTCGTGGAGCTCAGTACTCTAATGGAATGTGTTTGAATGTCTATGTGGCTGGAGTTTGTTTGCGGTCATGTGGAAGACCGCTGCTTCATCTAAGAAGAGCCATTTAAGATACTCTCCAGCATCCAGCAGGCTGCCTGGAACATTTTAGACAACCTCCCACCCCCACCCTGCCATCAGTATTTCTGAATTTGATTGGAACACTGCTTTCCATTTCCTAAGTAATTTTACCAGAGGAGAATGAATTTTCCCTTCCAGTGACACAGGACAATAATTTCTCTTCAGGAACTGCTTTTACTTATGTAAAAGCCAGGAAATGAGGCAGGTGTGGATCATTGACATGGTCAGAGGAGGCCCACGTCCCAACTTTCTGACCTCCTCACCTCCTTCCCATCCAGACCTCTCACCACAGTGGGCAGCAACTTTGGATTCCTTTTCCTGCTTGGCTTTTCATTGAGATGGAAAGCCAGCAGGAGAGGAAGGAAAGAAAAATTGAAGGCTGGATTAGAATTATAAAATGCTATAGCTGGAAAGGGCATGGAAATCATTCAGATCAAACTCACCCACCTGCTGCCCCATTTTTCTAAGAAATAAGGAAATTGAGGTCCAATGCCCTATTTTATACTGTGCTTTTCTAGGATCTAAAGAAATAGTCTGTTTAAATTACACAATTTGCTAATGAGGACACCCAAATGATTTAGGCGGCTTTTTGTTTTAATAGCGTTTTCTCCCCATTTTTTTGTTAGAATTAAAATATACCTATATCCTCCGAACACACACCCAGATAGGGAAAACCCCATTATGTGACATGAATATGGTATCTTGGGAAGTGATATATTTTGATTGGAATAGTCATCATTTTAACCACCAATGGTTAAAACCCAGCCAGCCCTTCATTTTTCTTTGAAAATCAAGAACTCCTTAGGGACTTAAATCTTTCTCAGCTAGCCTTTTCTCCATCATCCCACAGAATGGTCTTTTGACCTGATTTTTATAAATTCTTGTCAATCAAGTGACAAAGCAGGTATTGGGGGGGGTAGGGGAGATTCTAGGAAAAGCTGCTGAATAGCTTTTCCTCCAAAGATACAGAAAATGCATCTTTACACGTGATTGTTATCCACTGTAGCTTTCAGAAGACTGTTCTACAGAGAAAAGAGACATAAGCAGAGGTCACGACCAGTTTAGAGATTGGTTAAATTGAAGAAAAAGTGCCAAGACTGAGTGTGCACATTGTTCTATGTATTATCAGTATTTTTATTCTTCCTAAGAAAAATATTTACATACTTTGCTTTGTGAGTAAATGCTTCCTTAATGTCTTAATATGTGTGGCAGGCTCCCTGTCTACCTGTACCTGGTGTCTACATCAGCTAGTTGGACAAAGCCACGCTGAGGCTGGGCTTACTCATCTTCTGTCCCTCTCATTTGCAGTGAAACAGGCAGTGCACTCCTCAGAGGTCAGGCTGGTAACTTTTGGGTCCTGGGTCTGGAGGGTAGAGTCAGAGTCTCCCTGGTAGACCTGCCCACCCTCCAGCTATGCCTCCAGTGGGAGCAGGGGCCCTCCGTCAGTGGGTCCAGCCCTTGGCCTGCAGCAGAACACAATTCCGAAGGACACAATGGAGAACTAGACCAGGGAAAAAATTCTCTTAAATGCCACCTAATGATATGATTTTTGTTGTTTCCCCTGATATGCTGTTTACTCTCAATGTGTACAAACACAGTTGTCCTTAAGGCCTTTGCTCTTCCCACCTAGAAACAGAAAATGGGGTGTATATTGGTTTTCAGCCTGCTGTCCACATTAGAATGGAGAAGGGGCCTGGCCCTGGTGGACTGCCACTGCTGGCTGCCGCCTCCAGCTCATCAGAAAGAGCATCTTGACAAAGACAGACTCAGAACAGGGCATGCCCTCTTCTGTCAACAGAGAAATGGCACACAATCAAATGGGATGATGTGTTGTTTATTTAAACCGTACCAAAGTACATTCTTCGGTGTCTGTTTGCCTGCCTGAGGAGAGGCCCAAGTTGAGAATACAGTAAGGGAGACTCATGAAAGTGAGTATTGTTTCTAGTCAAAATCTTAACTTCTAGAGCACAATCACAGGTAAATTGGGGCTAAGCTTAGATTAGGTGTGTCTGATTTTTGGTGCTGTCTTTGCTCTGGGAGTTGCGCCACATTGAAATGTCTTGCTTTTACATTCAAAATGGTGGGAGAAATTAAGAGACAAAATGGGATTCCATGGTGTGTTGTGTCTGGGGTCTGCTATTCCCAATTTATAATCCAATTCTTCTATTCAACCGTTCTTACTCCTAATGAAGGCACGAGAGAGAGAGTAAAGAACAAACGTACAGGATGACATTGAGTGAGGCCACACTCAGAACATCTGATTTTAAAAGTACTGGCTTTGAAAGCACCGCTCAGGAATTCATCAAAATCCCCTTGGTGTCATCCATTTCTCATCACAGAACAAATGTTTCCCAATTTGAAGGACTGATGTAAGACATGCCATACGTGCTAAACCACTACTTACGGGGCCTTGAAATCTGGCTCAAGACTTTTCCAATAGAGGGTCTTTAAAATGACTCGCCAGAAATAAGGCAGCTGCTTGGAGGTCTAAGAACAGAATGTGATGGTCCCTTGGCCCCTAAAGTATTGGACTCACGGATTCCTTGATAGCCCAGTGTGGTGAAGGGGGAGCCATCCTTTATAGACGGGAAACTCTGGCCCGAACACAGCCTGGAAGTTGGGTCCTCTAACTCCAAAGCCACTGATTGCTTGCTTTTCCTGTTGCCCTGGCTCAGTCACCTCAAGATGGTGCCATCCTCCCACTCTGGGCTTGGCGAACTCTGAGATTCCAGTTGCTTTTTGGGTTGGATCTTCTGGACTGAGCCTGCCAGGGAGAGAGAGACCAGAATCTTCCCGTCTACACCCACCGTCAGCGGTGGCGGCAGTGGGGGGGCGGGGGGGGAGTATTCTACAGCAGCCAGGATTGTGAGACACAGTTTGTATCTAGATCAGTTCTCCGTGCCCTCTCCTTGGCCATATCCAGCTCCCAGGCAGTTACTGGCATCTTGGAGAAGTGCCTAGGAAGGCAGGATGGCCCTACCTGGTTCTGAGCATTAATGGAGAAAATACTTATGGTCTGCTCTTGTTAGAAGGTTGGAGAAGGCTCAGAAGAGTGTGGCAGCCAGCTTCCCATCTACTTACTGAGAAGGAGGGGGGCACTGGGTGAAAGCAGCCCAGGGGGTCAGAGCATCTAGTGGCAGATGTGCTGGGGAGAGTAACTGTGCTGGCAGCAGGGAAGGTAGATGCCACCCAAAAGGTTTCCCTGATTCGTTATGAATTCCTGTTCATTTGACAATTCTAGTCAGAGGTTTTACTCCTTGAGATGAGGACCAGTTAGTATTTCTTCAAAAAAGGATAAAACTCAGGAAACCAAGTGACTGAAATTTGCTCGCTCAAGAGCCCTCAAAGTATGTTTTTAACACCAGAAGGAGCCACAGAGATTGAAAACCCCATTGGTGCTGTGGGTAAGGTTAAATGGCCTGCCCTTTATCATATAGCAAAATGAGGGTTAAACATCAAATCCTGGCAATGTGATTAAGTCCAGATGACTCCAGACATAGAAAAGAATGGACACCATTGATAAACGATTGTATGGCTTCCAGAGATGCAGCAGGCCACCTGCACGGGAGGTTGGGTGAGTAGACCGTGGGATACCCTCACATACTTACAACAGGCCCCTAGGAGGGGCAACTAATTTATTCAGATGGTATCCCATGTGGAATAACGGAGAACGTTTAAGAGCATTTGGCCTGGATAGATGGAGCCTCTTCAGGATGTTCTCACGTTGGAACAAACAGCAGCTCCAAGAGCACCGAGGCACTTAGGCAGATAGCTTTGCCCAGTGGCTAGAACCGCCCGATAGCTTTACCAATAAGGGAAGGCACAGCCTTTGGAAGGGAATGAATTCCCCATCACTAGGGGTGCAGGCAGGAGCTGAAGTATCTGTTAGGGGCACTGCAAGAGGCTTCGGGTCTTGAGGCTGGGCTAGGATGTTCCCAGGAGACTTTCAAGCCAGAGAGCCTATGGTTGGTAACCGTTTCTAGCTGAAAGGTGCAATCCAGTTCTCTGGGACTGGAACCGAGCGCGGCTTACAGGGTCACCGTCGGGGTGGTTCTCCTTCCTAATGTTATGGCCAAGGACGTTTGGGGCCCCAAGAGATCCAAGGTGGTGAGTCAGCAACACACGCTGCATTGTGAGTGCCACTGTGGGCGACCCTGTAGCTCGTGTATCTGTCCAGGTGCCCGTGTCAACAAGCACAAAACTGACTTTGCAACTAGCTCTGCATATGTGACTATGTTGTGTGACTTGTGTGAATGCAGATGTGTGCGTCTGGCATGACCACAGCTGGTCCCACGTGTGAGACCGTGTGGCCAAGTAGGAGAGCGAGCAGGTATTTCTGTGCCCTAACAGTTTCACACTCACAGCAGACATGCCATCGTGCTTGTCAGATCTGTGGCTGCAAGACAAGATTCTAGCTCAAGGATCACCTTAATAGCAACTTAAGTTGCTAGTTTGTGCCTTGCCGAGGATCCTTAATCCCTGTGCCACTGATTCCTGGTACCCCCCGGGAGAGTAGCCTTGGGAGCAAAGGTCGCCTGGGAGACTAGTGACACCCAGTGTCCACCCCCCAAATGCACATCTCTGGAGTTCAGTCCCCATGGTCTCCTCTAGATCCATCTCTGGAGCAGGTGCTGACTGTTGGACACTCACAAAAAGGGGCAACCCCACAGGCTACCTTGACCAGAACCAGTTTACCTGTGAGCAGGCTGACCTCGCACAGCCCCAGGATCCATTTTAGAGCTACCGTGTTTGCAGTACGGGACCTCAGCTGGTGTCCTGGAGTAGAGGACCTTAGGAAACTCCATGCAAGCCCTCCCCTCAGCCTGTCCCAACTCTGTGGCCATGGCCATCTGCTAAGGGAATTCCAATCCCCTCTCCTCCCTCCTCTCCATTTGCCCTCATTGTAGCAAAAGCTGTCCAACCAAAAACAAAAGCCCCTTTTCTGGAGGCATCAGTTTTGACTCCTACCCCCGCAACACGTGCACTTTGTTGGCCATGGATGGGTTTGTTCATCCTCTGAGCCTTAGAGTCTGCTGCTTTTCTGTTGCATCAACCCCCTTGTCTTCCACCCCAGTGCTCGTCACAGCTGGTGGACAGGTGTGACTCAGGCAGGTTTCCTGAAGGATGTGCGCATCAGCCGGGATCTTTCTCTAGCCCAATCCACAAGGAAGGCTACCACCTTGCTCTATGCACCCGCTCTTTATTGCTGCCGGGCCAGGTGCTGGGTCCTGCCCAGGCTGGGGAGGGGAGGTCCTGACCAGTGCCCCCCTCTCTGCAGCCAGCAAGCAAGGCCAAGCCAAGGTCTGAGGCCTGCACCTGGCCCACCCAACCCCAAGGTGCGGTCCGGGGCTCGGAGTCCGCAAAGGGCAGAGGGCACAGGCGGGGTAGTGTGCATGGCCCTGTGCGCAGCCCTTAGCTTTTCGAGTCATTAGCCGTGGGCTCCTGGCAGAACTCATCCATGAACTGGAGGAAGCGGCTGAACCTAGGCTGGCCCTCACGCAGTGCCGGGCGGCCTGGGGGCGGCGCCGCGGCCCTGAACATGGTTCGCAGTGAGCAGTGCACCAGTTGCCGGTAGCGGGCCCGAAACTCCTTCAGCAGCCTCTTGGCCTCCAGGTATTGCTTCTGGTTCATTAGTCGCTGCTCAGTCCGCTGGCGCAGGACAGCTCCTGGAGGGGGCGAAGCCTGAGGGGTGCCACACTCGCTCTGGGTGCCCCCTAGCCCAAGACAGTGGGGACTGATTTGGGAGGCACCCCCTCCCCGCCAGAAAGTGGGATGGAGTGAAAAGAGGATGCTACAGGGCTGGAGGCCATCCTCCCCAGCTTTGTGGCATTAGGAAGCCAGTGGGTCCCCTCCTGGCTTAGGCCTTAATTCTGGCCCATACTGTGTTGTGTGACTCTAGGCAACTCCCTGCCTCACTCCATGCCTCAGCCTGTCTGCACAAGAGGAAGAGCCGGGGCAGATGCCAAGGGCCCTTCCCGCCCTGACATGCCTGTGCCCTCTGCCTCCCAGTTAGCAGATGAGTAAACTACTCTGTGTCCGGTAGGTTCTGGACAGGGGCTGGGGGCAGGCAATGCTGTACCTAGAGGAGCCTCAGTAATGTTCCGGGGATCCCGCATGCGAATGAGGATGTCATCCAGCCGCTGGGCTCGAGTCTTCCGAGGTGGGGGAACAGGGATCCTCTGGGCCTGAGGCAAGGTAAGAGGAGCCTGTCACTCCAGTCCAGTGCTTAGCCTCTCCTGGCCTCACCACCTCATCCAGACTCAGCAACAAGCAAGAGAACCCATGGGGGCACTGGGAAAGCACAGCCCTCAGAAGGTCCTGAGGTGACAGCTACATCTCTACCTGGGGGATCCTGAAGACCCACGTGAACACTCAACAAGGTGGGGCTGGCCCATTTACCCGTTTCTCCTTGGGAACATAGTGTTTCTGAAGCGTATCCAGCCTGGGCTTGGAAGAGCGGCACAGCAGGGGGTACTTGAGCATGTGCTGCAGCGCCTGTGTGTTCTTCTGGATTCCTATGGCAAAAAGGCAAGGTTTGGGGCAAGGTACCTGTTCTCCATCTACAGGATGCCTCCCTCAATTTTTCCCTTCCCTGGTCTCACAGTAGCCCTGGGTGAAAAGATTTGAGAGGCCCCAGAGGAACACGCTGCTCCATCTTTCCCTGATCTGCTGCAGGGCCCAAACCTCCATCGTTCATCCAGTGAATACTTGTCCCCTATGTGCACAGATCCTAATGGACCAGTAGCACTGGAAAGGGGAGGGACTGACCCCAATGTAACCCCATTTAACAGCCCATTTAACAACCCATTTAACAGTGGGTTACACTGCAGGGACTGACATCCCAGAGTGCAGCTGAGTGCCAGGCCCTTTGAAGCACAAATAGCATTAACACATCAGTCTAAAACAAGGGGCTCAAAGAGCGCTCTCTTGCCTCAAACCACATAGAGAGGATTTGGGATGTTCCATCTGGGGCTCAGTTGGGCTGGGAAGGAGCTTAAAAATCTGGCCAGTCTAGGTGTCTGCTCATCGAACCCTTTCTGGAGACACTTTTCCAACCAGAGCAGCTGGGCCTAGACTCACAGGAATCTCAAAACAGCTGTGGCTCCTCCAAATCCAATGAAGGCCCAGGCCAGGAGTCCTGATATGTGAGGCTCCCAACCAGGACAGCTTCAGGAGCCCTTTGACAAGACATTCATGCAGAGGGCAGCATTCCAGACTGGAAATGAGGCATGCCACCAGCTTTAGCTTTGCCCTGACTTGCTCTGGGCTGTGGACCGAGGGCCCCCGTCTTGGAGCCATTCTCCTCACATACCCTTTGGCTCAATAAATGCTGGATCAGGCTTGGCTGTCAGCAGCTCCTCGTAGCCATGGTACTTGCTGGGGAGGGAGGCAGTTGGGAGCTTCCTCCAAGCCCTCTTTACCTCTCTGGGAGCTTTATGGGGTGGTCTTTGCCCTTCCTCCTTCATGGCTGAATCATCCCTCTGGAGGATGGAGGAAGGCAGCTCATTCACCTGTGCCCAAAAGAAAAGCATTTAAGCATCAGCCCTGTGTGTACCTATGCCGGGCCCGGTTAAGGGCAAGAGCCAAGACTGAGGTAAGAGGAGGCAGACATGAAAGCAGACAATGATCATGCACTTTGGTAAGCGCCGTAGAAGGGAGCACAAAGGTTCTGAGTGAGCCCACTGGAAGCCTGAACCCTGCCTGTGGGACCAGGAAGCTTCCTGGAGGAAGTGAGGCCTTAACCTGCCTGAAGTCTTGAAGAAGCAGGATAGCCATCTCCATGTGGGGAAGGGGAGAGGGATGGGCTATGAGTGATGGGGAGAGAGAACTGCCACAGGCCGGGAATAGCAGGGGCTGAAACACACACATAAGAACCAGCAACTCCGAGTTGGTATCGTTGAGATATATGGTGAAAAGATGGGCTTGGAGCAATAGGCAGGCCTCAGATCAGTAAGGACTTTTAAAAGCTAACCTGAGGGTGTTTGTTTTTGTATTTTCTTTATCCTCACTGTGATGGCAAGCCACAGACGAGTTTTAAGGGGTGAGTGAACACTGTCCTCACATTTTTAGCCTACCCTCATGGTTTTTTAAGAAACATATCTATGAGACCTGAATTTCATGTAGGGATATTGTTTATACCCTTCATTAAAGCTTGTGGTTAAGAAGAATAAAAAATCTGAACAGACCTGGAACAAGTAGAGACTAAATTAGTAATTTCAACAATTGTCACAAAGAAAAGCCAAGAACCAGATGGCTTTACTAGTGAATTCTTCTTATTTATTTATTTATTTATTTGTTTGTTTATTTATTTATTTTTAAATTTATGATAGAGAGACAGAGAGAGAGAGAGGCAGAGACATAGGCAGAGGGAGAAGCAGGCTCCATGCACCGGGAGCCTGAGTGGGATTCGATCCCGGGTCTCCAGGATCACGCCCTGGGCCAAAGGCAGACGCTAAACCGCTGCGCCACCCAGGGATCCCCACTAGTGAATTCTTCTAAACACTTAAAGAAGAATTAACACCAATCCTTCACCAACTCTCCCAAAAATTAGGAGAGCTCATTCTCTTCCTTAGTCTTACAGCTCATTCTCTGAATTATTACCCTGAAACCAAAAGTAAGGAAAGACATCACAAAAGGACAATACAGACCAATATCCCTATGAACATAAACACAAAAATCCTCAAAAAATACTAGCAAACCAAACTGACAACATATAAAAAGGATTATATACCATGATCAAGTGGGACTTATCCCAGGTATAGACAAGCTTGGTTAAACATCTGGAAATCAGTTAGTATGATACACCATTCCGATAGATAAAGGACAAAAAAAATCACATGATCACTCAATGGACACAGAAACTATATTTGGCAAAATCTAACACCACTTCGTGATTAAAAAAAAATTCAACAAACTAGGAATAGAAAGAAAGTTCCTCAACCCGACAAAGGACATTTATGAAAAACCCACAACTAACATCAGAATTAATGGTGAAAGACTGAAAGCTTCCCCACGAAGATGAGGAATAAGATGTATCTGCTCTTGCTGCTTCTATTCCAGATTGTGCTGGAGTCACAGCCCAGGCAAGTTGGCAAGGGTAAAAAAGCTTTTTTCATCATGGTGACTCACAGTTGATTGTATTCCTTTGGCTCCCAGGAAGCTCACACTTGCATTTTGGCAATACACCTCTGTTACGAGAGCAGCAGTGCATGATGAGTGGGTTAGAGTGATGGAGACCTTATTTACTCTCCTGTCCACATTTTCCTTTCATCCAACTTTCTCAAACTCATTTTTATTTATATTTTTTCAAGCTTGTTTTTAAATATTTACTTAGACTCTGCTTTGTTCTAAAAGTTTCTGATACAGTTCATAAAGATAGTTTTACACCATATAAATGTGTATGTCACCAGAAGTCCTCTTTAAAAAAGGGATGGATTCCAACATAAATGTATGCATGAACATTTTGGAAAGATCTGGAAGCCCGGAGAGGTGAGACTGGAGGTACAGAGATGAGGAAAGGCAACAGTACAATGACAAAATTTGAGGGACCCTGCCCCATCTCTTCTAGCCTCATAGTTCCCTTTTCCTACATGTCACCCTTCTGCTGCCCAGACACTGAACCATTTGTGGTTTCTGCACATGCCACTTAAATTTCTGTCCTCTGTAGCCTACTTCATGCTGTTTGCTCTTCCCAGGATGCCCTTCCTGCCCATGTTTTCACCTTGTCACTGCCTACTCAGCCTGCAAAGATCAGCTAATTGGAAGGAACATCTTTCAGGAGCCCTCCTGGTCTGGGCAGAGGACCCTTCTTTCCTCCAGGCTCCCAGCCCCTGGGTTTTCCTTGGTCTCGGCACTGACTGCATGCACAACTTCATCAGACTGAGGACTTCTCAAGGACAGGATCTTTGTCTCACCCATCTGTATTCCCTGTATTCCGAGGCAGCAGCAGAATTCATGTGACCTTATACAGATAGGCAGAGGCAGCTGCAAACCTTCCAAGAAACCAATCAGAACCATGCCCCAGCCAGACCCCAGATGCTGTCTGTGCCACAGGACCATGACCTTATCTCCATGGATCTCCCCACCAGTAGTCTTGGCTCAACAGATCTCTCAGAGGGGTTTGCAGGTCCTGTTAGGGGTGCTTTCTTCTGGTTTCTGGGCCTGTCTGGGCTTACTTCTGGCTGCCCACAGCAATCCAGCAATGTCAGGGTTGTGCAGAAGCCCCTAGGAGCTAGGAACAAGGCAAGGGAAGGGGAACCAGGCACCTGGGTCAAGAATATGGACTCCATACTCTTGGTGTCCTCGTCTGATGGCTGTTCCGGGCTGAGGTGGCTGGGTCTGTCACTCTCTTGGGATGTGGTCTCTTCACTATGCACGGTGGAATCAGAGCAGATGGGAGGCAATGGCACAAAGGTCCGGTGGGACAGGGAAAGGCCCTCCAGGCCTTCGACAGGCATCTGCTCCAGAGGACTGCTTCTGGCAGCCAATGGCTCTTTAGTTGGCCCTGCATCAGACTCTAGCATCTCCTTTGAGGAAGACTTGACTATGGTCACAGGTGGATGATGGAGAATTAGAGGCTGCTTTGGCACCTTTGGGACTTGGGTTTTTACCTGTCAAAGGAGAAAGGCTAGATTGGTTTGCTTCCTAATCAGAATCTCTCCTTCTGGACCTCACTAGACTAAGGCTAGTTGGTACAGTGATCAGAGTACTGGATGAGGGCTCATAGGGGGAGGGAGGGAGGGAGGGAGCCAAATCACACTAACTGGGCATCTACAATGTGCCCTGTACATGTTGCTTTATTTATACCAGGGCTCAGAGAGGTAAAATGACTTGTCCAAGGTCACAGAATTATTTGGTGGCAGAGCCTGGACTATCTGATTTCCATCCTGGGCTCTGCCTCATTCTACATCCCTGATCATATTACTCAGGCTCTCAATAGCTGTATTCTCCTAATTGAGGTTTAACATAGTACCCTCGACTTTCCTCCTAGGAAGGCTTGGAGGAGATGGTCCTGTGCCTTCTGGGAGGCAGCAGCACCAGGTCCCTTTCAGGATGCTGGTCCCTTTATTTTTGAGGTTTCTTTTTTTTTTTTTTTTTAAGATTTTATTTATTTGACAGAGAGAAAGAGGACACAAGCAGGAGCAGCAGCAGGCAGTGGGAGAGGGGGAAGCAGGTTCCCCACTGAGCAGGGAGCCAGATGTGGGGCTCAATCCCAGGACCCCGGGATCACGACCTGAGCTGAAGGCAGGTGCTTAACCAACTGAGCCACCCAGGTACCTTATGGAGTTTTATAAGGCAAATCTCTCTCAGAGTTCAGAGCCAAGGAAATAATTTCTTTCCTGTTGTAATTCTCAGCTTCCTTAATTAATTAGCAAAAGTCCATTGTCCTGGGAGAAAGGATTATGGACTTAGCATCTGGCTCACTCTGACTGCACCCCTCTCAGGCTGGCTAACGGAAAGAAGACAGTCCAATTCTTAGAGGCAACAAGCAAGGGAAAGATGACAGAAACCTTTTGAAATTCTATCTACTTCTGGCTTTTAATCCTGCTCTGGTCTTCTAAGGGCTACAGACTAGTTTGGCTGGACAGAGACAGGCTGCATAAGGGGTAGAAAGGGAATAGCTATTTAACTTTTGAGATCAGCAATGCCCAGTCTAGCTTTTAGTTATAGGAAGGCTGAAGTTCAGGAAGGAGGAGTATTTTACAGAAATTTCTGCAATCCTTCAGATGAAGGAGAGATGTGACTTACTCTACAGCATCCCAGAGGCAAGTCTAAGACCACTCGCTGGGGTTAGTTTGGGGGAGCAGATTGCTCTCAACATAAGGAAATGCTTCCTGAGACAGAGGCAGATGTGTATTCTAGGCCAGGTGCAGCCATTCATGACTCCTACACATGGTTAGAACTTGCGCAGGTATGGGCTTGAGGGTTTACAACATATTTTTCTATCTAATGCTTCTCTAGATGAAGGAAGCTTGGAGTTGAGAAGCTGAAGCTCAGAGAGTGAAGCTCTTGCTCAAGTTCAGGCAGCCATGGAAAGGGATGACACCAGGCTCATCCCTGGGTCTTCAGACTGATTTCTCCCCTACATCGCAGCTCCTTCTTGGGGCCTCAGTTTCTCTTTAAAAGTTGGGGGTAGGATTCCATGACTGTCTTGTCCCTTCTGGGTTTATCTGTATGTAACAGATGTGGAAAGAAGACAATGCCAGTACTACAGACCCAACAGAAGGAATCCATGATGAGTGTGAAAGGGCACTCTCTCCCCAGGTCAGTTCACATCCATTAAGATGGGCTCCACTTCCACCGGGCTTGGAAGTCCTGCCTGGGAGGACTTACCTTCCGTGAGTCCTTCCGAGGCATCAAAATATGATGCTTAGCTTTTACTATCTTCCTTCGAATCAAGTGGATCCCCAGCCGCTCCTGGAGGAAGCTTTTCAGCAGTGGAGGGATCCCTGGAGCCATGATGGGGAAGTATGGTTACTATCAATGGATATTTACTAGGGGCTTACTATGTGTCCAACACTGTTCAAACTGCCAGACACTTATTAACTTGTATCATTCCCACAACAACCCCAAGAGATAGGTACCTGTATCATTTCCATTCAATAGGTGAGGAAACTGAAGCACAGAGAAGTTAAGAAATTTGCCCAAGGCAATAAGGATTGTGCAAAGCAAGGGTGAGAACTCTGTTGATGTCACACTAGGACCTAGGATTCTAACGTGCCTCCAAAGTGTCATGCTGATGTAGCATTCACTGCACCCATGATGCTCTGGGAGGGGAGGGCCTTGCACCCCTCACAGCTGGGGAGTAGAAAGTGAGGCCACAACAGACCTGTTCAACAAAGCTGGGAGTCACTTAAAGATCTCATGCAGGATCTAGCTAATTTTGTATTCCATTCCCAGCTCTGCCTCTTTCTTGCTGTGGGACCATATGTAGATCATGAACCTCCCTGGTCCTCAGCATCCTTCACTGAGCATGGGGACAATGATGCCTGCCTCACAGGGTTGCTGTCAGATAAGCTGGTACAGAGCAGGTGCTCAGCAGTGTGTTGTTCTCTCCATCCCCAAATGCACCATGAACTTTGTCCACCCATGACACATAGCAGAGCCCAGGGCTCAGCATCGATGAGGTGGGGCTGAGGTTGCCCAGACTGCCCCTGGCCACCAGGATGGGGGTGCAGGTTTGCAGGCACCATACCTCGTGTATGGGCCACCAGAGGGTTGTTATTAAAGATGAGCTCGCAGAGAGATGGGAAAAGAGCTACTGGCAGGATGGCATCTTCCTTTGCGATCTGTAAGGAACACAGAGAAAAGCTTCAGGTCAACACTGCCCCACCTCTGTCCCAGTGCCACCAGGCCCCACACTGCAGGGCTGCGTGCTTACTGGGGCTTCAGTGCAGTCGGGTAAGTGATGCTGCTATGCTCAGACTCAGTGCTGGCCAGTGTCTATCCTGCAGTTTTACCCACTCACACCCACAGAAACAGGATCCTGTCTGAAATTCCACATTACTTTTCATATTTGAAAGTTAAGAATTGTTTTTTCTTCTCCACACCAGAAAGTTGCCTTGAAAGATGTTAGTGACAAAAAAGGAACAAAAACATGTAGATAGTGTCCCACAGGGAGTCTAGAAGTTTGGCAGGGCATAGACTGACCTCAGGATACAACGTGTCTGATACTGTGCCTTCCTCAACATAACCTCTACACACCCCACCAGCCCATCAACAACATTCCTGATGGTCTCTTTCGTTAAAACCTGTCCTGGGCACTGAGCTGGGGAGGGACAGGGGGCAGGCAGTCGGGGGGAGAGGGGGCACATTCATCTAAGGCATAAGCAGAACCAATGATAAGGAAGACCTCACATTGTCTAGACCCAGGGACTGCTCTACCACCATGAGGCCAGCCTCTGAAGGGTGAAAAATACCCAATCTTTGTTGAGCAGAGTGGTTGGAACACCCTTGGGAGGGTGCCTGTTAGCAGTAGAACAGTATCAGAAGGGCCGAGGGTGGGGCAGGGGCCTATCAGATGCCTGGGCACACTGAAAGTTACTGGATCGGACTCAGGACCCGTGGAAGGCAATAAGGCCTGAGGACTGCGAGAGGGTGGGCCCTTTGGTTTAGCTTCTTCTGGAGCCCCAGTGGGTAGCACTCTATGCCCACTGGGCAATTAACCATTCATTCTCTTTCCTTTGTGTTCATCCAATCAGTAAATATTAATAAATGCCTACATATGCCAAGAACTGGGTTGGAAATGAGCTAAACAGCTAGAACTGTCCTCCAGGAGCACTGCCTAGTGGGAAACACACATTGAAATAGTAACGTGAAGGATGTAGCTCTACAGCTGTGATTGGTGCCACAGGAGAGGGTGTGTGAAATCCTAGGGTGATTTGGTCCAGGCAGGGAGACAGAGAAGGCTTCCCTGAGATTTGAAGGATGAGGAGGAGGTAGGGACACCAAAATCATTTCCTCTAATTTCTAGGCACACAGGTAGCCTATCTTCATGCCTCCCAGGCAGCTAGATACAATCATGTGATTCATGTTATAGGTAACCATGGTGAAAGGGATCATTTCTTGTCATAGCCCATTTGAAATCTCCTATGTGATCCTCTACATTTCTCACCCCTCTCTCCTGCTCAGCCATCTATCTACCAGATGCAGAGGAGTCAATAAAATCCCCTTAAAGTCCTATGGGATGACAGAGCCACAGCCAGGAGCGACCTGGGTCTCTGGAAGATCATGTTTGAGGCCATCAGCCTACCTGGAATACTGACAATGGATTTTGTGAAAGCAAGAAATAGACTTCTACTGTGTGAGGTCACTGAGTATTTAAGTGTGTGGCAGCAGTTCATGGTGCAGTGAGTGCTCCTCCTAACGTGTTCCATGCAAAGAACAATGTGTGAAAGGCCTCACAGGAAGGAGGCGGAAAGCCTGTTGGAGGGACATAAAAAGGCCGCTTTGATTAACACCAGAGGGAAAATGAGGCTGGAGATGCAAATAGGGACCAGCCAAAAGCTAGAAAGATCTTGGTCCCTGGGAATCTATTACATGGATTTTCAGAAATATGAGGACCTAAATATGACAAGACCTGGTCACAGATTAGATGCGTGGGGTGAGGAGGGATGCAAAGGAGAAACATTAAAGACGACAGCCAGATTTTGGCTTGAGCAAACTGCACCCACGATGGAGCTATTCTCTAAGATACAGGGAAATGGAAGAACCTCAAATTCGAAGATCATTAATTCACTTGGGATACATGTGCTTCGGAGGTACCTTTGAGACCTCCCAGTAGAGATCCAGGGAGGCAGTAGATATACTGGCCTGGAGTATACAAGAGGGTTTGTTTTGGAATTATAAATTTAGGAGTCACCATGCATGGGCCAGTGGGCATGTGAAGCTATCTCTGGGGAGAGAATCCAAAGTAAGAGGAGAGAAGGGACCAGGAGCGGGCCTCAAGCAACTCTAACATTTGCTCCTCTAGGTCAGGACTTGACACACCTTTTCTGTCAAGGACCAAAGAGTAAATGTTTTAGGATTTACAGGCCATACCATCTGTGCTGCAACTACTCAACTGTGCTGTTGTAGCATAAAAACACCCAGAGACAATTCATAAATAAGTGTAATGGCTCTTTTCCAACAAAACTTTAGTTATGGACTCTGAAATTAGAATTTTGTATAATTTTAATGTGTCATGAAGTATTATCCTCCTTTTGATTTTTTCAACCATTTAAAAATCTAAGACTCAGTCTTAGCTTAAAGGCTATACAAAAACCAAGGTCAGCAGATAAAGCCTGTGGGACAAATTCATCCTCCCATCTGCTCAATAAAGTTTCATTGGAACACTGCCACGCTCATCCATTTACATATTGCCCTTTGTGCTACAAGGACAGAGTTCAGTAGTTGTGACAGAGTAATATATTTATCTGGCTCTTTATAGAAAGCGTTTGCTGAATTCTTATCTAGACTCTAGGGAAAGAGGAAGGAGGATGAACCTACAAAGAAGTTTAATATATGTTGATAAATAATTATAAAATGGTAGTTAAAGAGGGTGGGTGCAGTGTCTCTTATATGTAAATCAGATGGTCAAGAAGCACTCAAAACAGAATGGGGGGTTTAAATTTAATTTTGTCAGGATACAAAATCTAATCCTCTAAATCAGATGGGTAAAGGGCACCTGGATGGATCAGTGGTTGAGTACTAACTTTGGCTCAGGTTGTGATCCTGGAGTCCTGGGACTGAGTCCCACAACAGGCTCCATGCAAGGAGCCTGGCTCTCCCTCTGCCTATATCTCTGCCTTTCTCTCTGTGTCTCTCATGAATAAATAAATATATAAAATTTTAAAAACCCCAAATCAGGCGACTAAAAAGTTAAAGACCGTTGTAATTAAAACTGATAGTTAGGGGTGCCTGGGTGGCTCAGTGGTTGAGCATCTGCCTTTGACTCAGGTCATGATCCCAGGGTCCTGGGATCAAGTCCTGAGTCAGGCTTCCCACAGGGAGCCTGCTTCTCCCTCTGCCTATGTCTTTCCCTCTCTGTGTCTCTCATGAATAAATAAATAAAATCTTAAACAAAAAACAAACAAACAAAAAAAAACCTCAAGTAGGGATGCAGAAAAATGGAGTATTGCTTCTCTCCTAACAACAAGAAAACAGAGAATAACCTATAACATCATAACTTTTCTTGCATCTAACAGAGAGCTAGGGTCTCAGGGCAATTATGTGGACTGAAATCTAAAGAAAGAAAGGCACCTCCAAGGAGAGATGGGACACGGACACTGGCCCACATGTGGCAGAACATGGGAGGAAGAAATGGCAAGTGCCATATAAACAATTGGAAGAATGAGTTGCTAGAGGCTAAGTATGGGCTAGCACAGGAGAAAAGAACTCTCAAAAGCTGCAGACAGAAGGAGAATTCATGGCTACTTATATGCAGAAGACTGGAATCAGGGAGCAAGACTGGAGAAAGCTGTCCCTGGGGTATAGGCCTGGAGGAAGAGGGCCACTGCCACTGTCAGAAAGGCACCCCTCTCCCTAGGGAACCAAAGCCTGAAGTTTCTTTTCTTTTTTAAAAAGATTTTATTTATTTATTCATGAGAGACACACATAGAGAGGCAGAGACAGACAGAGGGAGAAGCAGGCTCCCTGCAAGGAGCCTGATGCAGGGTTCGATCCCAGGACCCCAGGATCATGACCTGAGCCACCCAAGACTGAAGTTTCTGAGGGAGGTCAGCAATCCCTGTCAGGCCCTAGGTCCTGCATCTGGGAGAAGGAAAAAACTAAAACCTGCTGCTCCCTGAGTAGTGGCAGGAAACCAACCTGGGCCCACTGCCTGACAGGTCTCAGACTGCTTGCAGAGGGGTGGGACTGTTGAGAATGCCCATCCTTAAGACACAGGAACCCAGCGTCTACTTAAGAGTGGGGCTGGATCTTCCCTTTGGCCCTCTACCACCAGACAAGCAAGCATAAGATAACAAGTAAAAACAGTCTCCTGCTGGGCGAGAGGAACTCCAGTGGTTTAGTGGAGATAAATCTTCCTGAAGTACAGGAGCACAGGGAAGGCTGCAAGCTGAGGACAGAGCAGGAACACAGAGAAAAACATTCTGATATCCCAGCAAGAACCAACTATATGCTGTCCCAAAGAGACAGACTTGAAATACAAAGCTGTAAAGAGGTTGAAAGTAAAAGGACAGAGACTATTACATAGTAATAGCAAGCATAAGAAAGTTGTGTATCTATATTAAAATCAGGCAAGACATACATATATCAAGACAAGAAATTTTGTTCGAGGCACAGGGAGACAAATCATAATAAAAAAGGACCAACACATCAGGTAGATATAAAATTCTAAGTGTTTATGTACCTGGTAGTAAAACTTCAAAATACATGCAGCAAAAACTGACAGAACTAAAAGAAGAAATAAATAGATTCACACAGAGAGTGGAGTTAACATGTTGCTCTAGATATTGGTAGAACGAAGAGACAAACAATAATACAGAAATGATCTGAGTTTTTTTTTGTTGTTGTTGTTTTTTGATCTGAGTTATAATACCAACCACCTTAACTTAATTGATATTTATAGAACACTATTCCCCCAAACTCCAGAATACACATTTTTTAGAAGTGTATACAGAACATTTACCAAGATAGACTATAGGATGGGACATAAAACAAGTTTTAATAGATATCAGAAAAATGAAATCTTTTTATTTTGTATTTTATTTTTATTTTATTTTTTTTAAATATATTTTTTAAAAGATTTATTTATTTATTTATTCATGAGAGACACAGACTGAGAGAGAGGCAGAGACACAGGCAGAAGAAGCAGGCTCCCCACAGGGAGCCCAATACAGATCAATCCCAGATCCCAGGATCACGACCTGAGCTGAAGGCAGGCGCCCAACCACTGAACCACCCAGGCATCCCAGAAGAATGAAATCTTATAGGTTATCTTATCTAACACCAAAAGAATTAAAGTAGAAATAATAAGACATCTAGAAGATCTCCATATATTTGGAAATGAAGCATTTCACTTTCCTAAACAACTCATGGGAAAAAGAAGAAACCACAACAAGAATTTTAAAAGTTTAATAGAATGAAAATAAAAACACAAATCATAATTTGTAGGATGCAGCGAAAACAGTACTTAGAGAAAAAGTTTATAGCTTTACATACTTATGTTTACAAGAAGAAAAAGGTCTAAATCAATGATCTAAAATTACACCAGTTAGGAAACTAGAAAGAGAGGAAGAAATTAAATTCATGTGAGTAGGACAGAAATCAAGTTATGAGCAGAAATCAATGAAATGGGAAAACAGATAAGTAGAGAAACCCAATGAAATCATCAGTTAGTTTTTTTTTTTTTAAAGTCAGTAGAAGGGATAACTCCTAACTATTTTGGATCAATAAAAGATAAAAATGACCAATTCCAAGAATAAAAGAGGGACTCATAACATATCTATGGTCCACTTATTACTGACAGGGTGAGAAGACCATTCAATGGGTAAAGAATAGTCTTTGATCAATGGTGTTGAGGAAACTGTATATCCACATACAAAAGAATGAAGTTGGACACCTTTCTCACACCACATATAAAGATAAATTCAAATGGGATCAAAGTCTTGAATGTCAAAGCTAAAATTATAAAACTCTTAGGAAGAAAACACTTGGGAAGTTTGGCTGTACCAACTGCTTGCCTTAGAAGGAATGTAATCAGAGTATCTTAAAAGTTGCCTATATTTCAGACTTGAGTAGAGCTCAGCTGATGCGGTTTATAGAAGTCAATCAGCACATGGATATTGGAAACTATGTTAACACAAAACACGAAGGAGAAAGATGTTAAATTTGTCCCATGGACTTTACATCTGCTGTTCCCATAGGCTAGAACATTTCTCATTTCACTCTTTCCTCACACTTCACCTCACTAAACCCCTCTCTTAAGAACCTTCCTTGATCCCAAATATTAGGTTAGACTGCCCTTGTCACACTTTATAGTACTGTAAATTTCTTCATAACATTAAGCATGCTTATAGCAAGACCGTTTGTCCTGTATCAGTCTTCCCTATGGGTGATAAGCTCCAAAAAACAAGAGGCCCAACCTTTCTTTGCATAGCTATATACCTCGTACATAATACAGAGTCTGGCACGTGGTATTCAATAAATATCTATGACTGAATGGATGGACTCCTGCCCTGGCCTGCACTCTTTCCACTTCCCTCACCCTGAGAATTCTAGAGCCCACATATCTGTAATATTGGGAATTATAGGGCTGACCTCAGGCCGGAGCACACTGCATCCCAACCTCCCAACTGTGCCCCTGAGGAAATTGGTAGAGAAGCAAAAGAAGAATCACCTTGTTGTAGGCCAGGCTAAGGTACCTTAGCTCTGGAAAGGGCGGGGCCAGCGTCTGGTTCCTGATCTTCAGTGACTTCACAGGAAGAATCTCGAATATGGGAGGAAGTGCACATACCTTGGTTGCCTAGAAGGAAAAAAGGTCTATGTCAAAGCATCCTGCTGATAACAAGCTAAATGCTGCCAAGGGTCAGCAGACCCTTCTTACAGAGGGTGATGGAAAGAATGACCACTCTAGAGAGGCTTGGCTAAAAGAGACATCTAGGATCGTAATGGGGGAATGTTACCAAAGGTCCAGAGTTCTGCTTCCAAGTTCTCTGAGGTCACATAATGAGCTAGTTCTCTGGCACCCAGAGTTCCAGTTTCAGGTTCTCTGAGGCCAAATGATAATATAGCAGAGGTATAGACATCAGAAGCTCTTTTCTTCCACCTATCACTTTCTGTATTATAGTGGCTTATTCTGAAATGGCCCTTCACTACAGTTGGGCTAGAATTTCTTCAAAAGGCAAAGGGCAGTGCTTGCATTTTATTTTACTTATTTTTTTTAAGGATTGTTTTATTTTTTTTAAGATTTAATTTATTTATTAATGAGAGACAAAAAGAGAGAGAGAGAGAGAGAGAGAGAGAGAGAGGCACAGACACAGGCAGAGGGAGAAGCAGGCTCCATTCCATGCAGGAAGCCTGACGTGGGACTGGATCCTGGGTCTCCAGGACCACACCCTGGGCTGAAGGCGGTGCTAAACCGCTGAGGTACCTGGGTTACCCAGATTGTTTTATTTTTAAGTAATCTCCATACCCATTGTGGGGCTTGAACTAGCAAAACTGAGATCAAGAGTTGCACACTCATCCAACTGAGCAGGTGCTTGCATTTTAAAGGGGGCTTTTCCTAGTAGGAAGGTGGAAAGCACAAGAGACCTGAGCCTTGAGTACCTGCTCTGATGGGCTAGTTCACATCCTACAATGGAGACTTTTCATTCCAGAATAAACCAATAGCTAAATCCTGGATGACTTCCAGCAAGCCTTTGGACCTGAACGTTACCTGGTATACCCAGGTCACTTACAAGGTCGTGGTTTTTTAGCACAACCCAGCCTGCATCAGGATCAACATGTTTCATTTAGCATAAAGTAGAAGGTACCGGGTTAACCATGCCTGACTTGGTTCACTCACTGATTCCTTAAGCTAGATGGGACCAAAAGAAGTTACAGGGTAGATGCTGGGCTACTAACTGGATTCATATGAACTAGATTCTGTTCTAAGCTCCATTCATTGCTGTGCAATCTTGAGCAAGTCACTTAAATTTCACTTGTTCATTCAGTGAACATTCGTGGAGCACCGACTTGGAGTTACATATTTTGTGCCCTCCTAGGGTCTAACTTGTATACCCACGTGAGTGGGGCAGGTGAGTGACGGGTGAGTAAAACAAAAACTAGTGATCATGCTTGGGAATTTCTAGAACTCTCCTCTCCAGGCGATCCAAATGCAATCTACAAGAGGCCAGAGTGGAAAGTGGTGGCAGTCTGGGAAGGCAGTGTCCTCCACCGTGCAATTCCCTATTTGGAGCAAGGCTGTGTGGACCCGAAAGAGGGTGATTCAGACTGTAACACAGAAAAGAAAGAGCCAGAGAGTGAGGCTCAGTGGTATCTAGCACTATCCAGGGGCATAAGTGTCCTGACCCAAGGGCATGAAGGATACCTACACACCTGACTTTTACAAAACAAGGCCACTACAAGTCTCAACCATCTAACACATGTCTACATTCTCAGATGCCAGGGAGTTGGGATCTGAGCACTGAACAACCTACCAATTGTCTTTGACTTTTGTGGCAGACTGTTTAATAGTCACAAGCTTCTCTGTTCCATACGTATGACCTTCGGCAATGTGACCTTGGTGCTCCTCTCATTCAGAGGTGGAGTCTGTATCTCTATGCCCCTGAAACTAGACTGGCTGTTGTATAATAAAGAATTTGTCTGGTCTTTGTCCCAGGTTTTTAGCACTGAGCTTCCAAAACTCTTGGAAATTCCTAAGTGATAGGAATGCCTTTGTTATCCATGAGCCCTGGGTTCACACTTAAACTTATGCTAATGAGATGATTCAAGATGGGGGCTGGCCGAACCTGAAAGACAACCAGGTGATTAGAGAGCTGGCATTTTGAGGCAGCCTGACCTAGAGATTAAGTTCAATCATGTGGCCAATGGTTCAGTCAGTCATACGTATGTAATGAAACTCCAAAAAAGCTCTGAACACTGAGGCTTGAGTGAGCTTCCTTATTGGTGAACACATCAGATGTGCTAGGAGGGTGACAAATCCTGATTCTTCAGTGAGAGGGCACAGAAGCTCTGCATTTGGGGACCCTCCCAGGCCTCACATTATGCATCTTTTTATTTGGCTGGTCCTTACTTGTATTGTACCCTTTAAAACTGTGATCATAGAGATAGTGCTTTCCTGAGTTCTATGAATTACTTCATAGTTCACCAAATTATTGAGCCTGAGAAATTGGTGTGAACTCTAGAATTTATAGTCAGTTTGTCATAAGTGTGGATAGCTTGGGGACTCTCAAACTTACAGCTAGCGTCTGAAGTGAGGGCAGTCTTACTGGGGACTGTGCCTTTAATTTGTGGGGTCTATGCTATCTCTAGGTGGTGAGCATCAAAACTGAACTGCCTTGTCATACTTATGACTTGCTTTGACCAATAGAATGTGGCAGAAGTGCCATCATTTGACTTTCAGAGCCTTGCAATTCACCCTTGCCCTTCTTGAACCCTAAGGCCACCATGTTGTAAAGATGTCCATGATAAAAAGACTCCATATAGATGCCATGCCATACCAGCTGTCCATGAACCCAGGCCCCAGTGAACCAACCAGCTGCACGAATGAGCCCTGGCAAAACCAGTGGAACACCTAACCAGCCCAAATAATTGTGAGAAATAATAAATTGCTATTGTTTTAAATCAGTAATTGTTGGATTGGTTATGTGGCAACAGTTAATTGATATAATTTCTCACCCAGTTTTATCTGTGGGGATATATATATATATATTGAGCTGCCTCTCAAGGATGCACGTTGACTAAATGTGTAGTTGCACTTCTTACTGTAAATAAATAAATCAATAGCACATCAGTCCCTGGGAGCTTGGTTAATAAGCATCTAACCCTAAGAGAAAAACCAATTTTCTGTGCAGACAAAAATCAAGCATCTAAACCTGTGACACTAAGGATTAGACCCTAGATGGTGGTGTATTTGGAAAGGATCAGTCCAGCTTTTGGGGGCTCTTACTAGGGAGTGCCAAGGCTTTGTCTTGGTTGCAGCCTCACTTCCATGCCAGCTTGATCACTTAAGGCAGCAACCATTACTACTCGGTATATACCTGTTCAATGAACGTGCTTTTTCAGTGTGATATATATAAATGCCTTTCATGGCTTCAGTAGCTTACTTTTGTTTTTTAAAATTAATATTCGGGGATCCCTGGGTGGCGCAGTGGTTTGGCGCCTGCCTTTGGCCCAGGGCGCGATCCTGGAGACCTGGGATTGAATCCCACGTCGGGCTACCGGTGCATGGAGCCTGCTTCTCCCTCTGCCTGTGTCTCTGCCTCCCTCTCTCTCTCTCTCTGTGTGACTATCATAAATAAATAAAAATAAAATAAAATAAAATTAATATTCTAACTCAAGGACACAAATATAAAATAAGCAGTTCCTACCTCTGAGGTTGAAAATCCAGGGTAAGACGAGAATACAACCTCTGAAACAAAAGAGAAGCAAAACAAAGGTTGGTGAGAGCACTGACTGCCTCCAGAGAAGCTGGCATCTGGGTTTCCCAGCCACTGTGTACAGGAGGGTGACTCTAGAGGGGAAATCATTGGTCCTCCTCTCTGATGCTAACTGGGAAGAGTTCACTGTAGTACTTATCAGGTAGTGAACTGCACTTAGAATAAAATAAAAACTCCTTCGCCAGGGGACGCCTGGGTGGCTCAGTGGTTGAGTGTTTGACTTTGGCTCAGAGTGTGATCCCAGATTCCTGATTCCTGGGATTGAGTCCCACATCGGGCTCCCTGCATGGAGCCTGCTTCTCCTTCTGCCTGTATTTCTCTCTCTCTCTCTCTCTCTCTGTCTCTCATGAATAAATAAAATCTTAAAAAAAAAAAAAAAAGAAAACACAAAAAACCATAACTCCATGGCCAGGCCTCTGAGGCCTGATCTTGCTGATCTGGCTCCTGCCTACGTCTCCAATCTTATCTCAGGCCACCCTACTCTATTTCAGCCACATTGACCTTCCTTCTGACTTTGCAACATGCCAGCTCTTTTGTGCAGGCAGACAGTATTGATCAGAAGCAAACCAACTGTCTTAGAAGAGAGAAATGTATATAAAAGATATTCTGCCAAAGGACTTGAAAATACACTTTGCTATGTTAGTAGAAATAGAATGTATTAAGACAGTGAATTCAGGAGAGATACTAAGAATAACCAGTAGCACAGTAGTAAGGAAGAGGCTGTGGAGTGATTTCATTCTTGGCACCACTGGGATGAGATGAGCCAATAAACATCTGAGTTCAACCATAAATCAAAGCATCTTCTTGGACTGGGTCCTGCGTAGGCACTAGTCACCTTTGCCCTGGCTAATGGGACCCCTTCCACATGTTAATGATATTATACTGATATGAGTTACATGAAAATGAAGTAAATAAGAATAGGGATGGAGCATCACATGGCCCAAATAGCTTCTCCTATGACAAGTGTCTAGAAAGGATTGGAGGATGGGACAAGGAACAAAGTAGGAGTTAGAAAGAAGATGGGCCGTGGGATCCCTGGGTGGCGCAGCGGATTGGCGCCTGCCTTTGGCCCGGGGCGCGATCCTGGAGACCCGGGATCGAGTCCCACGTCGGGCTCCCAGTGCATGGAGCCTGCTTCTCCCTCTGCCTGTGTCTCTGCCTCTCTCTCTCTCTCACTGTGTGCCTATCATAAATAAATAAAAAAAAAATTAAAAAAAAAAAAGAAGATGGGCCGTGGTTGCAAGTGTGGCTGCTAAAAAGTGACTCCCTAGGGAGACAGCCCCCATGTCTAGAAAGATGAGCCATGGTATACTCTACCTGAACGTATATCCTTCCTCTCCCTATGATCAGGTTAGAAAGGTTACTGGATACAAGTTCAAAGTTTCTATGTACTAGCAACAAACAAGCAGAAATCATTGACAATAGCACTGAAAAAGGCCAAATACTTAAGAATAAATCTAATGAAAGATATGTAAGACTTCACCACTGAAGACTACAAAGCCTTGATGAGAACAATTTTTAAATGACCTAAAACATGGTGAAATATATTATTTTAATGCATTAGAAAACTCAATATTGTAAAGATGTCAATTCTCTCTAAATTGGTCTACAGGATCAATACAGTTCTTTTATTTTTATTTTTTTAGATAGAGAGTAACAGAGGAGGGGAGGAGAGGCAGAGGGCAAGGGAGAAAGAGAATCTTAAACAGGCTCCACACCCAGCACAGAGCCCAACCTCACAACCCTGAGAAAATGACCTGAGCCAAAATCAAGAGCTGGACACCTGACTGAGCCACCCACATGCCCCTGATCAATACAATTCTAACCAAAATCCCAGCAAGATTTTGTGTGGAAATTGACAAGCTGATTCTAAAATTTATACACAAATGCAAAGGCTTTATAATAGCTAATTTTTAAAAAAGATTTTATTTATTCATGAGAGACGCAGAGAGAGAGGGCACAGAGACATAAGCAGAGGGAGGAGAAGCAGGCTCAACGCAGGGAGCCGAATGTGGGACTCAATCCCTGGATCCTGGGATCACACCCTGAGCGGAAGGCAGATGCTCAACCACTGAGCCATGCAGGCGTCCCAGCTATAGTAATTTTTTTAAAATTTTTATTTATTTATGATAGTCACACAGAGAGAGAGAGAGAGAGGCAGAGACACAGGCAGAGGGAGAAGCAGGCTCCATGCACCGGGAGCCCGACGTGGGATTCGATCCCGGGTCTCCAGGATCGCGCCCTGGGCCAAAGACCGGCGCTAAACCACTGCGCCACCCAGGGATCCCTTTTTTTTTTTTTTTAATTTTTATTTATTTATGATAGTCACACAGAGATATAGTAATTTTTAAGAAGAACACAGCTGGAGAACTTCACTATCAGTTCTCAAAATGTGTTATAAAGCTACAATAGGGATCCCTGGGTGGCGCAGCGGTTTAGTGCCTGCCTTTGGCCCAGCGCGTGATCCTGGAGACCCAGGATCGAATCCCACGTCGGGCTCCCGGTGCATGGAGCCTGCTTCTCCCTCTGCCTGTGTCTCTGCCTCTCTCTCTCTCTGTGTGACTATCATAAATAAATAAAAATTAAAAAAAAAAAGCTACAGTAATTTTATTTTATTTTTTTTAGAAAGGAGAATGAGCAGGGTGAGGGAAGGCACACAGGGAGGGAAAGATAGAACCTCAAGCAGGCTCCCTGCCCAGCACAGAGCCCCATGTGGAGCTTAGAGTCGGATGCTCAACCAACTCCCCAGCGCCCCTAAAGCTACAGTAATTTAGACACATACAGACCCTATCTTACCATAATACCTCTCTTACAACTCAGTGGGGAAAAGGATATATTCTTTTCAACAAGTAGTGTTGAGTCAGTAAGATATTCATATAAAAAAGTAAACTTTGATTCTACTTCATATCATATACAAAACTTCTAGAAAGACCATAGATCAAAATGTAAAAACTGAAATAAGCTTCCAGAAGAAAATATAGGAAAATATCTTTGTGGTTTGAGGTAGACAAAAAATTCTTGAATAGGAAATAAAGAGCACTAACCATAAAAGATTGAAATGAAGTTCATTAAAATTGAGAACTTTTATTCATCAAAATTCATTATCGAGAACATGAGAAAGCAAGCTATAGACTTCAAAAAGATTTTTGTAATATATAGATCTACAAAGGACTTGTACTGAGCACATATAAAGAATCCAAACAAATCAACAAGAAAAGGACATATAACTCAATTTAAATACAGGGAAAAAAGACTTGAATAGGCACTTTCAAAAGAGATATCAAAGTGACCAATAAGGGCAGCCCCAGTGGTGCAGCGGTTTAGCGCCGCCTGCGGCCGGGTGAGTGATTCTGGAGACCAGGGATAGAGTCCCAGGTAGGGCTCCCTGCATGGAGCCCGCTTCTCCCTCTGCCTGTGTCTCTGCCTCTCTCTCTGTGTCTCTATGAATAAATAAATAAATATTTAAAAAAACCCAAAATGACCAATAAACATATGAAAGGTACTCAAGATCATTAGTCACTTAAATGAAAATTAAAACCACAATGAGAAACCACTGCATACCTACCCAAAACAGGTAGAATTAAAAAGACTGACATTACCAAGTGTTTATGAGGATATGGAACAACTGGAAATAAAATCTCTTAAATTAATACGGGGCTGAAAATTGGTACAACTGCACTGGAAAAATACTTGGCAGTTTTTGCTAATGTTAAATGTACTTTTATACTCTATGATGCAGCAATTCCTGGGTATACACCCAGTAGAAATGACTGTTTAAGTCCACCAAAAGATGTAAAAGAATATTCATAGTAGCTTTATCTATAATAGCCTCAAACTAAAAATAACCAAAATGTCTATCAATAATAAAAAGGGTAAATAACTTGGAATACATAAGAGGAATGAAAAATAGTGAACTACCAAAATATGCAACAATATGAATGAGTCTGACAGACATAATTTTGAGTGAAATAAATCAGACACAAAAGAGCACATGCTGTATAATTCCATATTCATAAATTTCAAATCAGGTAAAACCTATCATTGGTGATAGAAGTCTGAATGGTGATTATTCTTAGAGGAGGTACTAATTAGGAGGATACCACATGGGATGCTGCAAATGTTCTATATTGTAATATGGGTAGTGGTTAAAAGGCTGTTTATATGTAAAAATTCAAGCTCTACACAATATTTCTATATTTTTACTTTATGTTGGTTATTTCTCAATTTAAAATAAATATTGAGAAAACCCACTATGATACTGGCACAGTAATAGATAAGCAGATCACTAAAGCAGAATATATAATCCAGAAATAAGCTTGTGTATTAAAGAGATTTTTCTGCCTCTAATATTGCCATTTGGATGTGATTCTTGGCACCATGGTAGTGATCTTGAGATCTCTATGGGAACCAGTATATAAGGACAACGATGGCAGAAAAAGGGATGGAAAGAACCTGAATCCCTTGAGAACACCAAATGCAACCCAGAATTAGCCATCTCTGGGAAGTCTTACTTCTGAGTTTCTTGTTATTTGAGATTTTAATAATCTACTTAAAAAAAGATTTATTTATTTATTCACGAGAGATAAAGAGAGAGAGGCAGAGACATAGGCAGAGGGAGAAGCAGGCTCTTCGCAGGAGCCCAATGTGGGACTTGATCCCAGACCTTGGGATCACAACCTGAGCCAAAGGCAGCCACCCAACTGCTGAGCCACCCAGGCATCCCTAAAAATCTACTTTTTTTTTTTTTTTTTAAGATTTGATCTATTTATTCATAAGAGACACAGAGAGAAGCAGAGACACAGGCAGCCATGTAGGGAGCCTGATGCAGGACTTGATCCCGGGTCTCCAGGATCACACCCTGATTGAAGGCAGCGCTAAACCGCTGAGCCACCTGGGCTGCCCCAAAAAAATCTACTTTTAATTGGATTTTAAAATCATCTTAACAGAGAATCAGTTAGGAAGTCATTGAAGTAATTCATGGGAGACCTCCACCTTCCCAGGCAGAGCAGCTTAAGCTCAGCAGCTCCTCAGGGAGCCATGGACTTTAGAATAAACTGTCAGAAGTTTATTCCCACCATGGGGCTAGAGTCTCTGGAACAAGGGGCATCACTCACCTGTCCGGTCAACATCCTTCTTCATGGGCAGTACAGTATAATCTGGTTGCTCATCTGAGGCCTCAAATATGCACGATTTGGGCTGCCGCATGGATTGGGGCTCTTTGTGGGGATTCCCCCTGCCTCCAACCCAGTCCCCTGAGCCATCACGAAGCTGAAATTGCTGTAGGTATGGGATCCGGAAAATCCTGTTTTGGTCCAGGCTTAACTTCTTCAGTCTTCAATTAAGGAAAATGAATACAGAATCACAGCAATAATGATACCTCAGGGGCATTTACCAAGCAACTTTAGGGAAAGAAATGGACTCAGACTTGGACACTTACTCTTCTGGTGTGACCTTGAGCCAGTGACTTACCTCTCTCTGGGCCTCAATATCCCTATCTCTAAAATGGGGATAATATTCATTAACCTTTCAATCCTGTAAAGACTAATAAGACAATTTAAATGGCCTGACACAAAGTAGTATTCAGTAAATGGTAGCTGAATCCAAAGTAAATTTTCCAGGGATCTAAAGCTTAACCTTTTAAATGCCAGCATTTTCATAATTTCAATCAAATAAGTAGGATTTAGCAGTTAACCTTATCTTTCTGATTCCAATTTTTCTTTTCTGTCTCCTTTCTCAGGGGTCAGGACCCTATCTCTGGTAATATCTCCCTCTTTCTCTTGTCACTTTTAATCCAGTCAATTGATCAGAAATGTCCTACTGATACTCCATTTTTATGGCTGAGCTAAAGCTCAGAGGGGAAAAGTGAATTACCTATAGCCACACAGCAGAGATAAGTGGTAGAGCTGCGACTTAAACCCAGGTCTTTTGGATTCCAGAGCAACACTCAAGTGTGTGGGCCAGGCTCGGGTTAGCAGGGCACCCTGTAGAGACAGGACTATGGTTTTACCTTCTGAGCCCAGCCAGGCTGGCAAAGCAATTGGGGCTGGAGAGCTTGTTGTCATCCAGCATCAGTGTTTCCAGCGCTGGGAACCTCAAGATGTACCTCCTCCTTGTCAGTGATGTTACAGATGCTTCCCTGTGAGTGCAAGGATCCTGGATAATGAGTAAGGGCAGGAGACAAACCCTACCACTTCAGGAAGTAGGAATGGGGATAGGAATGGAGATGGAGGATAGGGAATCAATCAAGAGCATAACCAGCTTGGGAACTTCTCTAATGCTGCTGAAGCATCCCTGTAGAGAGGGACCAGAAGGTAATTCCCTCCCCGAATGACCCCTTCCCCAAATCCCACTCATACATCAGTCTTCTGTATGGAGAAAGGTTGCTCATGTTTACAGATAGTCTTAGGGAGACTGGGTTGGGGCAGGATGGGGGGCATTAGTAATGCTCATGGAAAATACCAGAGTGAACGAGGCATGACCAAGTTGAGGAATATTGCTAAATTTTGGGTCAAGTCAGGTTACTTGGTATGCTACATTACCAACGACTGGTAACTGGGAGCACCAAGAGACAAAGCCCTTGGCACAGACCATAGCTTTGGTCCATGTTGGGTAATGTAGGCTGGCCAGTGAGGTTCTCCTCTAAAGTGACTTAATAAAATACATACATCAGTAAGGGGCTAAGAAATCTCTTTTAAAACTCCAACTCTCAGGGGATGCCTGGATGGCTCAGCAGTTTGGCGCCTGCCTTTGGCCCAGGGCATGATCGATCCCGGGATAGAGTCCCATACTGGGCTCCCTCCATGGAGCCTGCTTCACCCTCTGCCTGTGTCTCTGCCTCTCTCCCTTTCTGTGTCTCTCATGAATAAATCAATAAAATCTTTAAAAAATAATAAATAAATAAATAAATAAATAAATAAATAAATAAATAAATAAATAAATAAATAAATCAAACTCCAACTCTCTGAGGAGTCCCAGAAACACTTGAGAATGTAATCTAATGGGCTGAGATCCTGAGACAGGTGGGGCAGGAAGTGGTGGCATTCTATATACTATCATTAATGTGGCCTCATTTATGTCCCCAGCTGGGTGAGACCTGGGTAATTCTTTTTTATTTTTTCAACCTTTTTTTCTTTTTAAGATTTTGCTTTTTAAAGTAACCTTAATACCTAACATGGGGCTTGAACCTACAACCTGAAGATAAAGAATCACACACTCTACCAACTGAGCCAGCCGGGTGCTCTTAGGTAATTATTTTTAAGTACACAAAGTTTAGATGACTCAAATCATGTTTTCATTCTTCCCTCCGTCTCCCCTCCATACACCCAAATAAACACTCAACACACTCAACAGAGAAGGAAAGAAGCTTTTTGTTCATGGTATTTGAAGGTCACAGATGACTCTTTTCCTCTCCTGAAAGGACCAACTTTCATGTACTAAAATTTTAATTTCTACCTGAAAGCAATTACAGGAGGATGCACAGCAGCTCTGTCAATTTATAATTAATTGACTAATCTCTTTTTTACTTCCATCAGATGTAAAACAACTAAAAAATAAGCCTTCAAAAAATTCCTCTTACACCCCGTAATGGAGAAGCTGGCTCTGTCCTGTCTCTTTTGACTGGTTACAGTGCTTTGCCTTTTAAGTCTCACCCTAATTATAAAATATAAAAGCTTCATTTTGTCTCTAAAATAGAGGTTTTAAAATGGGGGGGGCAGTCAATAGGTGGGTAAGGAGGACAAGAAGCAAAGCTTCAGAGGAAAGCATCGGGCTCTCCCACTGGGTCCTTCCCATGGCAGTTTTGGGAGAAGAGCACTTTGAAGTGGCAAGAGTCTATTAGTATGGAGAGGCTGAGGTTACTAGCTGTTCAGAGTGGTGTTATTTTTATTATACCTTTTCTTGGCAAAAGGAATTAATGCCATTTAAAATATGATATGTTTGACTAATTTTTTTAGAAGCTAAGAGTACTGGATTGGATTCAGCATTGGGAATACTGTGTGCCATATTAGAAGAAGCTTGGGAATGGAGATCAGCAGCCCAGTAGTGCTGCTGCTGCTACTGTGCTGCTTGGCTTGCTGGGTGACTGGTGGCTGGTATTCAGCATCTCTGGTCCTGGTCAGTCCGTCTATCTACATGATAAAAGAGGGTTTCTTTTATTTTACATTGAAAGACTGGATGAGGCTAAAAATATTGCTGAAAAGACTGGACAAAGAGCTGCAGTAAAACAAATGAAATTTAGCAAGTTCTAATGTCCATTAAAATGTCAGATCAATGAAAATAAAATAATATCTTTTATTTGTTGGCAAACTATATTTTTCTTACTATTCTACTGTATATCTTTCATTAAAATCAAAATGAATATTCTCTATCAAAAACAATGTCAGGGGATCCCTGAGTGGCGCAGCAGTTTGGCGCCTGCCTTTGGCCCAGGGCGCGATCCTGGAGACCTGGGATCGAATCCCATGTCGGGCTCCTGGTGCATGGAGCCTGTTTCTCCCTCTGCCTATGTCTCTGCCTCTCTCTCTCTCTGTGTGACTATCATAAATTAAAAAAAAAAAAAAAAGTCAGATCAGCTTCTGTGATAAGATACAGAAAACCTACCATGCAAACACAGGATGAGGGAGATGTAGTCTCGCAACTCAATTGTGTAAAAGAAGACTTATGATGTGACTACTAATAAAGTTGGCACTCTTTTAGGTGGCCACTTTGAGGAAGAGAGTGGTTGGGAAAAAGAAGGTAACCATCCCCCTCTGCTCCATGCCAGTCAAGTCTGAGAGGACAGACCTGTGCGGTCCAAGAGGGACAGGGAATAGTCTTCATGGGAGACTCAAAGATTCAGATGCCGATCCAAACAAGTAATGGGGCAGGCTGATGATCGAGTAGGTCAGATATGATCCCCCCTAACTTACCCAGACAAAGATAATCATGTGATCTAGCCAGAAATGGAGACACAAATAGTTCAGAATAGATGAGGTCTGTGGTGAAATGGAAAAAAGTGAAGAGAAAGGAGGATGGAGAAGCAGGCAGAGTCAGGTCATGCAAACCCTTGTGATCAATGTTAATGGAGTTTATCTTTAGAATGCCGGGAAGCTGCTAAAGGACTTTAAGCAGGGCAGTGATAGAATCAGAGGTACTTTTTAGAAACATCCTTCTGGCTGATGGTGAAGAAGGTGGGTTAGGAGGTGATAAAGAGAAAGAAAAATGTGACATGTCCTTAGCTGTATCCCAAGTAGCAGGGGCTGTGCAGCCAGATTAAAAATTAAGCAGAAATCGCCACGTTTGAGAAGCATTTAGGAAGCACAATTCATAGCATCTGGTGACTGAATGGATGTGCAGGGTGAGGGAGGAAAGAATTCAGGCTGATGCCCATATTTCTCACTGGGACAAGTGTACAACTGATAGAGAGCAGTGCCCATCACTGAGGCCAGGGACACAGAAGGAAGGAGATCCAGGCATGGCCACGTGTGTGATGACTTTGGTATGATGAATAAAATATATGCACTCATAACTCGGAAGATGAATGTAAGGTAGAGATATAAAAAAGACTTGGAGGGATGCCTGGATGGCTCAGTGGTTGAGCACTGCCTTTGGCTCAGGTCATGACCCTGGGCTGCTGGGACTGAGGCCCATATCAGGCTCCCTATCAGGAGCCTGCTTCTCCCTCTGTCTCTGTCTCTGCCTCTCTCTTTGAGTCTCTCATGAATAAATAAAATCTTAAAAAAATAAAAAAGACTTGGGAAGGGATGAAACCATGAAGAAAGATTATACAAATTAAGAAAAACAGTGGGTTGAGAGTGGACAACTGGGGACTGTCAACATTTAAAAGGTTGGCAGAAGAAGAGGAATCCAGAGCATTTTGAATGTGGACAGACAAGTGAGAAGAAAATAACAGTAATACTTGTTTGGAGCTTCATAGTTTTCAAAGCACAATTATTTCAATTGATACTCTGAAGTACGTAGAAGTTCATTTATCCTCCCTACCTTACATATAAGTAAACAGAAATACCTAGTGGTAGAGACTTGCCTTACTTTATGCAACAAGGCTTCCCACTGAAAACAACTAATACGATGAATAAAACCTAAAAAGAAAAAAGATTCATCATTTAAAAACATGAAAGAGATGTGAAGATAGTAAAGCAGTAGTATGCCAAAATCTAGAAATCCAGAGACAGAAAGCAGGCACAAGAAGCCACGTTTGCCTTTTAGACACTTGCTGATAATGCTGAAACAGCATGTAATTGGAGATGCTCTAAACGAACGTAGGATCCTAAAGAGATATATATTCAGGAGAGAGAACTAGCACTAAACCCATGCCCCTCATCCCACAGCTAGGGGAAAACTGCCTTGGAATGAAAAGAAGGGAAGCGGGAGGGCAGACCGGTTCTCTTGCAAAATTGTAGCCTAAATCTGTATCATCATAGTGGTTCAGAGAATATCCAACTAGTTTAGTTTAGTTTAAAATGGTTCCATACTGAGTGACCCTAGGCACCTGGCCAAAGTAAGTGGAAAGGTTTATGGTATTGCAGACTAAATAATGTGGGCCAACTCTTCCCTGAGTATGAACTAGAAAACCCAGACAAAATACATATATTAAAAAAAATTTTCTTTAAGGCATCTGGGAACTAACAAGCTAACAAGCTGTGAGAAATTAGGAGGCTAAGATTTGGAAAAAGAAGGAAATCAAAGAGGACAACACTTGGGGTCTCTTTTCCCCTAGGGCTACCTGCTGACTCCAGAAGTGGCAGATAGGCTGAGATGCTGAGCAGAGATCCTAACAACCTTGGTAGTTTAGGAACCAAAAATTAAGAGTTCAGGGTACGCCACAGAAGGGGATTCCTGATAAACTACCCCTCCTTTAAGTTAGGGCACTGAAGGACTAAATACTAGGAGGAAGTGTGAACTAGAAACAGTATGTCCTGGGACGCCTGGGTGGCTCAGCAGTTGAGAGTCTGGCCTTCGGCTCAGGGCGTGATCCCGGGGTCCTGGGATCAAGTCCCATGTTGGGCTCCCTGTGAAGAGCCTGCTTTTCCCTCGACCTATGTCTCAGCCTCTCTCTCTGTGTCTCTTATGAATAAATAAATAAAATCTAAAAAAAAAAAAAACAGTATGTCCCTTGCAGAGACTGAAGTCTAGCTTCAAATAATTATGCATGAACTATACAATCAAAAAAAGTCTAGAGCTGGTGAGAAAAAAAAATGATTCAAGTTACTCAAAGGGAGAGAGTCACAGCCTCTTACTCAGTTTCCTGATCATTTACATTTACATTTTATTTATTTATTTTTTAAAAAGATTTTATTCATTTATTCATGAGAGACATACAGAGCGCGAGAGGGAGAAGCAAGGAGCCTGACGTGGGACTTGATTCCAGGACTCCAGGATTGTGCCCTGGGCCGAAGGCAGGCGCCAAATCACTAAGCCACCCAGGGATCCTCTACATTTAAATTTTAAAAATTAAACTTAAATAAAAGTAAAAATTCAGTTCCTCAGTCACACTGATCACATATTAAGTGCCGAATATGACTAGTGGCTGCCATATTGGACAATGCAGGTACAGAACATTGCCAACATTGCAGAAAATGCTATCAGACAGTCTTCAACTGGGCCTTTCAAGGATTATTAGACAATATCTGCGAATCGGTGCTAATGTTTGGGGATATGAAAGGCATGGTGGTCTACCACTCAAAGTAGGGGATTATGGAAGAATGGAAAGTTAGCCTGTGAACCCAGGGACGTCATCAACCTATTTTATGGTTATCTCCCCAGTTCCTGAATGTATAATTAGAATAGACACACTAAGCAACTGACAGAATAACCACATTTGTTTACTGACCAACAAAGTGAAGGCTATTATAGAAGGAAGGAACAAATTGAAGCCCCAGGAAATTTACTTCTAGAACACTAAGCCTAAAATTATTCTGCATCCCTGAGGTAACTACAGAGATTACTGCCATCACTAAAGACAAGAAAGGTAAAAGGATATTGAGTCTAATGATATTCCTGTTTAAGTTGTTTATTTGGCTCGTATAGAAGATAGATCATGAAGAATGACTAGAGATTACTGCAGACTTAATTAAGTGGTGACTCCAATTTCAGCTGCTGCTCCACATGTGGACTCTTCTTACTATTGTGCGTGAACATAGATAGCCCTTGGAACTTGGGAATACAGCTAGGGACCTATCAAATGTTTCTCTTTACCAATGTACAAGAACTGCCAGGAACAGTCTGCTTTTGCCTGGCAGGGACAGTAATACATATTTGCTCTCTTCTCTCAGGGCCACATCAACTCTTTCAGCCTATCATAATCTGTTACACATCTATTGCCTATCTGTTTATGTATTCCACAGAACCTCATGTTGATTGGACCTGATGGACAGGAAGTTGCAGATATTCTAGATGATTTAGTAAGATGCACGGTGTCAAAGGATGGAGGGAAACCCCACAAAAATTCAAGGAACTACCACCTTGATTAATTTTCTTGATGTCTTGATCTGGGAGCATGTCAGGATATACCTCCAATGTGAAAGACATAATCTTTCACCTTGCACCACTTGTTACTTGAGAAGAAGGCACAAAGCATTGTTGGCTTCTTTGGAGTTGGGACGCGATGCTATAAAACATTTGTGATATTCTGATCCATCCATGAGGATGCCAGTTTTGTGTGGGGCCCAGAGCAAGACAAGGCTCTGCAATAGGCCCAACTGCAGCGCAAGTTGCTCTCTGGGCTTTATGTCATTGGCAAGTGACATTGGGCAATATGAGTCAGTGGGTCCAACAGTGCTCTAAATGTCTAAGGCAAATAGGTGTGCTGTGTAGTACAGGGTTAACATACATCCTGGTTTTCATGGACAGTCTGAGTTTTTACCTGTTATCCCAAAATAATTAGTAGTGTTCCTTTTCCCTCTCAAATCTGTCCTGGTTGAATGATAAGTTACATGGTCCCTCTATGAATAGAGCATTTTATAGACACCTATTACAGAATTTTTTAAAGTTTTTTTAATTAAAAAAAATTTTTTTTTAAAATGTAATTTCTACATCCCACCTGGGACTTGAATTTACAACCTCAAAATCAAGAGCTGAATGCTCTTCCAACTGAGCTTGCCTGATGCCTCTGCAGAATCATTTTTGAGCAAAGTTATGCTCTATTCTTTTTTAAAAAAAGAGATTTTGTTTATTTATTTGAGAGAGAGAGAGCACAAGTGGGAAGAGGGGCTGAGGGAGAGGAATAAGCAGACTCTCTGCTGTGCAGGGAGCCTGATGCAGGGTTTGGTTCCAGGACCCCAAGATCATGACCTGAGCTAAAGTCAGATGCTTAACCAACCGAGCCACCCAGGCGCCCCAAAATTCTGCCATATACTATGGATAACTATTTTTCTTTTGAAAATAGCTTACTACCCCATATTGATAAAGACTGAACATCTGATCACAGGAACACTAAGTGACCATGTGACCTGAGTGGTTCATCATGAACTGAATGTGCAGAATTCCCTCATCAAGCAAAAGCAGTATGGGAGATCTGACCTAAGCAAGTCTGTAAAAATTGCATGAATGACTATGGCTTAGATTCCTATGATGCCTATTCCTGCTGTACTGTTATCTCTCTGTTAACGCATAACTAAGGTTCTATGAGCAGCTGATATAGGAGAAAACCCCCTAGCTGGGTTTACAAATGATTGTGTATGATATGCTGATACTAAAGATAGACTATTACAGTATTACAATCTTACATGGAGGTGGCTCTGAAAGACAGAGGAAGAGAAACCCTCCCAATAGGTAAAAAATATTTATCTATTTGCTTGGTTTATGCTGATTCATGGGCAGTGGCTGATGGCTTAGCTGAATGGTCAAAGCAAAAAAAAAGTAAAACTGCTGACAGGGAAGTCTAAGGGGAAATTATGTGAATGGACCTCTCAGAATGGATAGAGTATGAGGACTTGCATCCCATGTGAATGCTTCCCAAAGGCTATCTACTTTAGAGAAGACTCTCAGTGATCAGGTGGACAAGATGACCCATTCCATGAAGTCAGTTGGCCTCTCTCCTCGTATACCCTAGTGCTTGCAAAATGGCCTTAGCACACAGCACACATCCCTTCACCAAAGCAGACCTGGCTACCACCCCTGCTGAGTAACCAAACTGTCAGTAGCAGAAGCCAATGCTGAGCCCCTAATATGGCACCATTTCTGAAAGAATTAGCAAGCCATCTAGTGGGAGGATGACTACAGAGAGCACCTTCCTTCATGAGAGGAGCAGTGATTTTTTTTTTTTTTTGCTTAGAAAATAAACACATATTTTGGATATTTACATTCCCTGACCACATATTCTGCCAGCATCATCATCTGGGGACTTATAAAATGTCTTATTCTTTTTTTCTAAAAAAAAAAGATTTTATTTATTTATTCATGAGAGACACAGACTGAGAGAGAGAGGCAGAGACACAGGCAGAGGAAGAAGCAGCTCCATGCAGGGAGCCCGATGTGGGACTTGATGCCGGAACTCTGGGATCACGCACTGGGTCGAAGGCATATGCCCAACTGCTGAGCCACCCAGGTGTCCCTAGAATGTCTTATTCTTTATCCTGGTACCTCACATAACATTGCTTCTAACCATGCAACACATTTGGTAAGTGCAATAATGAGCTCATAAACATGGAAGTCACTTTTTGTTATCATGTACCTTATCATGTAGAAGTAGCTGATCTAATAAGAAAGGTAAAATAGTTTTTTTTAACAACTTATTTATTGCACCAGCTAGGAGAGACTACCCCCTGTGAAGTTAGGGGCTCTGACTACTTATAGGATCGGGTGTCACATAAATTGGCAACCAATACTGATGCTGTTTTTCTCATAACCAGAACATAGGATCTAGGAATTAATGGAAGGAAATGAGAACAGATCCTCTTACAATTATCCACTTACAGAATTTTTGCCTCCATTCCTGCAAGTAGAGGTCTTTGTTGCCTCGGGAAGAATACTTTTACAGGGAACACAAAGAATAGTTTCTCTCAACTAGAAGTTGAAATTGCTACTTGCCACTTGGGTCCCTCAAACCACTAAACCAATAGGCAGAAAAAGTGGAGCTTACTATATTGGCTAGGTGATGGATACTGATCATCAAAAGTAGGTATGATTGCTGTTATACCTTGAGGGCAAGAGAAATATGATTGGAATCCAGGGAATTATAAGGTATTCTTCTTAGATGTGTCATGTCCATTAGTCAAAGTTAATGGAATTTTTGCAAGATGAAAAGAGTTCTGAAAACAGATGGTGCTGATGGCAGGACAATAATATGAATGTACTTATATGAATTCTACTGTACATTTAAAAATGGCTAAGACAGAGGGTGCCTGGCTGGCTTAGTCCGTAGAACACCTGACTCTTGGCCTTACAGGAGTTTGAGCCCCATGTTGGGTATAGAGATTACTTTAAAATTTTTTTAAAAAAATGGTTAAGATGGTAAATTTTATGTTATGAGTATGTTACCATAATTTTAAAAAGCATTAATAGAAGACTACAGCATCCCAATAAAAAAGTATTAATAACTCCAATCCTTCAGGAATGAACATTTAAGGATACCACATCAGTTAAAGAGCCCAAATAACCAAGATGCTAGATAAAGGAGAAGGAAACATTAAATAGGTGGTGGAAGAAGGATTCATAAATACATACTATGTATGGCCTCCTGACCAGTTAAGAAAAAATTATTGTAGCAAATATGTATATTTTCTTCCCTACTTGTTATGTGTATGTAAATTGCTAGTGATAAACGATTTTGCAACTTAGTTTTTAGGTTCTAAAACATCCACTTAGCACTGTGATTGCTTTAGAAGAGAAAATAGTATCACCCAGAAATGGATACAGTGACCGATGGAACTGTGTCTCATCCATTTATAGAAGAAGGTGAAAAGTATCTTCATAAGAGGAAAAGTTCTTTCATGTAAGATGAAAGCACACTGTGGTTGCTAGTGTTGTAAGAAAATTAAACATGGAGAGAAGGAGGACAGTAGATGTTGGGTTTCCAAGGGTTGGGTGGCACCAGTCATCTGCCTATTTGTTCTTGAATTTTACTCCTTTCCTCTGTGTTCTGCTATGTATTATAAAGGGCTGAGGCTACTCCTAAGCTACACTTCCCAGACCACCTTTCCAATTGGCTTCCAGTGAGATACTGCCAAGGGAGGGATTGGTAAGCCTGGAAGGCCAGAACAGGGGCAGAAGCAACTTCCTCATTTGGTTTCTGACAGCTTGCTGGTAATAGCAGCAGTGTAGCAATGGCATCCATGCTGGTAGAGGTTCCACCTCTGTTTGAGGCAGCACATCTGCAGCAGATCTAGAACTACAGCAACAACCTCTGAAAAACCCCAACAGCAGGAATAGGCTTGTGGGCTTGAGTCCAGGGAGTGTGGGTGGCTTCTGATCTCTGGGTATCAACTTTCATCCTTGCTCTTGCAGCCCTTCCACTGCCTATGGAAACAATTCCCTCTATTTATTGTTGCTAATATTTAGGTGGAATAAAGGTACTCTGATTATGACTTCTTTTCTTTTTTTAAAAGAGTTTATTCATTTGATTCAGAGAGAGAGAGAGAGAGAATGAGCAGGGGGGACAGGCAGAGGGAGAGAGAGAAGCAGACTACCCACTGTGCCAGGAGCCTGATGTTGGGCTCTGAGCTGAAAGCAGAAACTTAACCGTCTGTGCCACCCAGAGACCTCTGATTACGATTTTTTTTAAGAGTCTTTATCTTTCAGAGGTACACACTGGATTATTTACAGATGAAACTACATGAATCTCTGTATTCATTTATGGCTAGATATGTCTGAGATTTTTCTTAAGAATAATTTAAGGTTGGGTGTGGTGAAGATATATATGAAACAGGATTGGCTATGACCTTAGAACTGTCAGGCAATAATTGTTAGGTGATAGGTGCATGGAAGTTCATTTTGCCATTGACTCTATTTCTATGTGTGTTTGAAATTTTCCATAATAGGGATGCCTGGGTGGCTCGGCGGTTTGGCGCCTGCCTTCAGCCCAGGGCGAGATCCTGGAGTGCCGGGATCGAGTCCCACATCAGGCTCCTTGAGGTGAGCCTGCTTCTCCCTCTACCTATATCTCTGCTTCTCTCTCTCTCTCTCTCTCTCTCTCTCTCTCTCTCAAATAAATTCTTTTAAAATTTTTTCCATAATAATATGCCAACTATTATCTCTCCCCATGAAAAACAATTAACTTCCCTTAATTTGCAATACTTCACATGGTTTTTATATTCCTGACCAGACCCTGACTGACATGTATCTGGTCATAGAGAAAGTTGCCTAAGATGAAGCCAACACTGAGAGGACAAAAAAGATGTGTATGTGTGCCTGAGAAAGGAAGTAAGAGAAAACACAAGACCAAGGTTATGTGCATACTCAAGAAATATACAGAATTACATGCAGAGCCCTGACAACATCCTGTGCACCTGTATCCAGCCAAAGCGAATCTAGAGTTCTATTAGACCTTTACAGGTACATGAACAAATAAATTCCCTTTTGGGGGGGGTGTTGATTTTTCAAAGATTTATTTATTTTAGAGAGAGAGTGACAGCACACACAAGTGGGGGGAGAGGCAGAGGGAGAAGAGGCGAATCCTTAAGCAGACCCCATGTAGGGCTTGATTTCATGACCCCAAGACCCTGATCCGGGCCAAAATCAAGAATCAGACGCTCAGCCAACTGAGCTACCCAGGTGCCCCATAAATTCCCTTTTTGGTTAAGCTAGTTTGAGTTGACTTCTGTCACTTGCAAACAAAAAGAGCATAATGAAATCCCTAATATAATGATCACTATTATCCAAATCCTTTGGGCAACTAACCAACCTCTATCATCACTATAAATTCCATCACATCTACCATCGTCACAACAAACATCATCATCATAACTTTCTCCTTCACCATCTCTAAATTAGTTAACATCCACTGAATACCTCAATGTGCAAAAGCACTAGG